CCAGTGGGTCACGCCAGAGTCCACGAGCTCTGGAAACCGGTCTGGACACTTCCTCCTTCAGACTAGTCACGACCTGTGGTCTGACCCATCCCATTCTGCAGAAACTGACTTCGATGCCATCTATTCATTGAACAGGGATGGGGACTATGTCTATTACCTTGCTTTCTTGCAAGGAGATCCTCAATTTCCTCATCTACTTAAAAAAGGGAGAAGGGACAGACACTTTGTGCTGAGAGATAGGAGCCAGGCAGTGGAGCACACCGTTAACCCCAGCCCTGGGGAAGCAGAAGCAGGTGGATTTCTTTGAGTTCAAAGCCAGCCTGGTCTACAAAATGGAGTTCCAGAACAGCCAGGGCTACACAGAGAAACCCTGTCTCGAGCACCCCCCCCCAAAAAAAAGCAAAGCACTTTCTTGGTAAGGACAAGTGCCTCTCACATCTGTAATTTCAATTCAGGGGATCCGATGCCGCTTCTGACTTCTGAGAGCTTCTACAAACACGCAGTGCACATACGTACACTCAGGTACACTTATACTCATGAACAATAATAATTCAAACGAGAATCAGACCGGTGTGATGACGACTGCATACTAGCAATCGCAGCTGAAGCAGAAGGGATCAGGGTTCTGTCTGCTACTCTGAATAAGCCAAGACTGCAAAAAATAAAATGAAGGAGGGAGATTGGGGGACTGGGAATATAGCTGAGCTGTGGATCTGTTACCTAGAATGTGGGAAGCCCCGAGTTCTGTCTCGGAGAGAGGACCGGATGTGAGCCTTAGTAGGTAAAGGGCTTGCCTAGCATGTTGAGTTTTGGTCACCCCTGCAGTCCTCGTGCCCAGGAAGTGAAGACAGAAACATAAGTAGAAGTTCATCTCAGCTACATAGTGAATTAGATGCCACTCTGGGCCACATGAGACCTTGTATCAAATATAAGACAAGCAAAAAAGACCCCAGAGTTGACAGTAGTGGCCCACTTAAAATCTGTCAAGATAGGTGGATTTCTGCAAGTTCAAGACCAGCTTGATCTAGATAAGGAATTCCAGGTCAGCTGGGGTTACACAGTTCTTGTTTCAAAGAACAGCCACCACAACAAGCCAAGTGTGGTGGCCCATGTCTTCAACCTCAGTGGTCAGAAATCAGTCCCACTGATCTCTGTGACTTCATGGCTCCAGACCCTGTTTCAAAGAACAAACAAACAAAAAACAAAGCAAAAAAGGAACACAAAAACACTAAGAAAAACACTGAATAGACAAATCTCAAAGGAAGTCACATATGAATTGTTAATTCACCAAAAGCAACTTTGCATTCTGAGATGAATAGCTAGATCATTTTTAAAGATTTACTATTTTTAATTATGTGTGAGTGTGTGTGTGTGAGTGTGTGTGTTCCTGTGAGTGCAGGGTGCCTGCAGAAGCCAGAGACATCAATCAAATCCTCTGAAACAGGAGTTAAAAATGGCTGTGAGCTGCCTTACAGGGATGTGGGTGCTGGGAACTAAAATTGGGTCCTCTGCAAGACTCTTAACTGCTGAACCATCTCTCCAGCTCCCAGTAATGATCATTAGTAATGATTATATTTAATTTGCTCTTAATCACTTCCTGAGCTTTTGTGGTTTATGTACCAGGTAACCCAGATCACAGCACAGGAGCAGGGACTCGGTGTTCCTCAGGTGATGAGTGCCTGCCTGGGATCATTCCCAGTGAGGGGCCCCTGTAAGGCTAGAAGACCAGAAGTTCAAGGTCATTCTTGGCTACACAGTCAGTTTCCAGCCTGGGCTATGTGAGACACTGTTGTAAAAACGGAAACAAGTCTAGCTAGGCAGGTGGCTGAGGCCTTTTTGCTTTCTGACAAAAACTGAGTACAGGGAGCTCAGTGCTGGGCAGGCAGGGCCGTAGCGGCATAATCTTTAATCCCAGTACTCAGGAGGCAGAAGCAGATGAATCTCTATGAGTTCGAGGTCAGCCTGGTCTACAGAATGAGTTCCAGGACAGCCAAGGCTACACAGAGAAGCCCTGTCTCGGAGAAAAAAAAAAAGACAGGAGTTCCATCCCCAGAATCCACATTGTGGGAGGAGAGAATTGACTCCCATAAATTGTCCTCTGAACTCCTAACACTCGCTGCCACACCCCCAAATAATTACTTGATATGTATATTTATGTGTGAGGACATGTGGAGATTAGAAGACAACTTGGAGGAGTCCATTGTTTCCTTCTACTCTCCTTCCACTTCCTGGGGATGGAACCAAGGGACTCAGACTTGCTGGCAGTCCCTTTGCCCATTGAGCCATCCTACTAGCCCTAAAAACAAACATTTGTGAGGTAGAGTTCGAGGCCAGCATGATTGACAGAGCAAGTTCCAGGACAGCAAAGGCTACACAGAGAAACCCTGTCTGGGAATCAAATTCATGTCCTCTGCAAGAGCAGCCAATGCTCTTAACTACTGAGCCATCTCTCCAGTGCCTGCTTTGGACGATTTTGTGGATGTGTGTAGCAAAGTGGTTCTTTTGTGTATGTGCTACAACCCTGATGAGGCCTGAAGACGACTAACTTAAAATGGTTACATTGTGAATGAGTCCCCTCAGAGGAGTTGTCTACAATAGACACAAAGTAGACTCCAGGTGGCTGGAAGCTGTGGAGAAAAGGAATGCTAAGTGGTTGCTAATGGGGTCGGAAGATTTTGAAACTAGTAAGGGTAATGGCTGTCACTATGGAGTTGTATGATTGGATCTGAGTGGAGAGTGCTTGCATGTAAGCAATGGGGCTTGAGTTCCATTCCCAGATGGGGCATTTTAATTACAACTCCCAGGCGGAGGAAGGCAGCCTCTGAGTTCCAAGACAGTCTGGGGCACAAGAAACAGTCTCCCTCTCTTTTAACAATTATTTATTATTATTTTATGTGCATCGGTGTGATGTCTGCAGGCATGTCCATCCATGTGAGGGAGCCAGATTCCCTAAAACTGGAGTTACAGACAGTTGTGAGCTGCCATGTGGATGTTGGGAATTGAACTTGGGTCCACTGGAAGAGCAGCCAGTGCTCTTAACCTCTGGGCCATCTCTCCAGCCAGAGGCATTATCTCTTAAAATAACACAATATGAACATACACTACTTAACTACGACCAACAGTTAACTACAAAGACCCTGTGCTGGAACAAAAGGGCTGATAGCAGACCTAGGCAGACTTGTGGTTCTTGGTGGTGTTGGGGGAGGGTGCCAGGGGTGGAACCTCCCTCCCTCAGCAGTGGGGCCCGGCTTCAGATTCAGGGGTGTTTATGATTCAGAGTGACTTTTGCCGACTCTTTGTAAGCTGGCAGTTTTCCTCAGAGTAAGGATATCCACCTAGCACTTCCTCAGTCGTCACACGGCTTTGAACTTCTGGGGCCACCACTCACGCCCTGTTTAATACTGTTTTATTATGAGACAGCCTCACTGTGTAGCTCAGGCTAGATTTGAACTCACTAATCCTCCAGCTTCACGCTCTTAAGTGTTGAGCGTGCGGGCTCTGATTGTGACAATTTCCCATGTAGCTCGTTCCCTCCTAAGAGAATGTTTGCACGTGTAGGGAACTTAGTTTCAGTCCCCACCCTACAGTGGCTGCCGCACCGGAAACCAGAGTTCGGGTGGGGGTCGGACAAGCCACTTCCCAGGGAAGGGCCCTGCGGTCGGTTCCTGGGACAGGATGTGCCCCGAGGGCCCCTCCCTGGCCACCAGGGACTTCCCAAGCCTGGCCATGTTCCGGTGTGCCCAAGATCCCCCGAGAATTCAAGGGTCTAGACAGTGGGCAGGGCTAGGGATCCTTCAGGTTTTCAAGTAGGAATCGGGAGTTCTGGGAGATGGTCTTGGCGGAGTCTCCTGGGAGCGCTTTAACCCTGACTTCCCAGGAGGTAGGAGAAGGTGGGGGCTGGGATGTTCCCGGGAACTCCACAGTCAGTTAGCCACGCAACGGCAGGCCACCCCCTCCTTCTGCCCTCCCCTCTGGGGTCAGGAGGCCGGAGGGGGTGGGGCCGGCGGGCGGGTGGCGCCCGCGCTTTCCTTACGCCTCCCGCACCTGCGGTTCCTTTGTCCTTAGGGTCTCAGAGCCTCCACCCTGGCCCCTAGGTTATGCCTAAAGCCCTTCGGAAACCAAAGTGAGAGGAATTGTTTACTGTGTTGGTTGGAAAGCTCGAAGCTGGATAAGATCAAGGCTAACCAGTTTGTGTGGATTTGAAATTAACTATGAAAACTAGGCTGGCCTCTAATTTAAGAGATCCGCCTGCCTCTGCCTGCCTTTTGCTTGGGTTAAAGGCGCGCATCACTCTGCCCCGCTTTAAACAAAACACAAAAGTGTAGGGACTTGCTGTGTTTCTTGCACTGGTCTACACACTTACGGTTGGATTAAACTCGAGCATTGTTAAAGCCTAAATGTGCTGCGGAAGCGGCTTATAGGCCCATTTATTTTTCTTTTAAAAATTAAAAAAAAAAAATGAGACAGCGTTTCTCTAACAGCCACAGCTGTCCTGGAACTCGAGTTGTAGACCAGGCTGGCCTTGGATTCCCTAGTGCTTAAATTCAAATGTATGTGCCACAACGCCCGGCCTAGGCCGTTTCATAGATAGGTAACTCAAAGTTAGCAAGGGCTTATCGCCTGAGCCACAAAGCTAAGAAACTGGAAAGGACATGTTCAAAGTTCAGCCACCGCCACTGGACACAGTTCCAGTCGGGAGGAGGGCACGAGAGAAACGCCAGCGTTTAAAACTCGCCAGCTCCTTTTGAAACACCGTACCCCATACCCCTTAAACACTGAGCTTCCTACACTCGCTGACTCCCCGAGTGTGTTAATTTCTAAGGAATTCCCAGATCACAGGGTTACTTTAGGTAACAGCCCGTAAACTTAAGGTAAAGAAACGGGGACCCGGCTTCCCAACCCCTGGGCACCCGGTCAAACCAGTTCGAGGCTCGGGGAGCGGCGACCAGTCCTGACCTTCGCCCCGGCCCTCCCCCAGGGAAGCCAGACACACAGCAGCGTCTTTTCTCCGACGGTCTTTATTTTCTTAGCTGACATTGTAAAACGCAAGTAGATGGGCGTTAATCACAACCACCACGGGAAAGGTAAACAGACTTCATAAACAACGCTGGCGAGAAGAGTCCCTTGCCTGCCTTAGAGGCGGGTCTACGAAAGTAACTGCGACCAGCCGGCCCCCTTCCCGGCGCGGCCCACGCCACACGGGTCTGCGCTGACAGTCAGCTCCGGGCTCTCCAGACGCTCCACCGGTTTGATCCGTCCGGGCTCTTGGCCGAGGTGACTCAAATCACCTCCCAGTCCCTAGGGCGGGCCCACACCCTGGCCTCCTCCCGGGCCCCACACCCACGCAAGGCAACAGGAAGCACCCGCGTCTGCCCCGTGACGCAACTACGACCGCTTGCACAAGCGTGCCACTTGTCGGGGCCGAAACGCGCCTGCGAGCGACACGGCCTTGCAAGGGCAGCCAGGCGGCCGGGATGTCCGACCCTGAGATTCCAGATGCAGGCGTCCCTTCTCCCCGCCGGGTAGGGGACAGTCCTTCAACAGCACCCGTGGGCGCACGTCCGTGGGGCGGCGCACGCGCCCCAGCTCCTCAGTCCTCCCGGGCCTCCGGCAGCCCGGGCCGCGGCTCTTCCTCACGGGCCCCGCCGACCTTCCCCAGCCGGCCCTGGCCTCGGGTGTGCGTTGCTGGCTCCGGCGACGCTGCTCGGAATGCTCAGAAGGCCACCACGGCTCGCACCAGCACGCTGAGCATGTTGTCGGCCGGGCGGCAGGCCGGCTTGGCCTCGCAAGCGGGGGGCGTCGGCGGGGACCCGGAGGGCCCGCAGTTCAGCAGACTCGAGAAGCGCCTTTGGAGGACGCGGGCGAGATTGGGGAAGGCACCTTCGGTTTGTGCGGGAGGAAGCGGCAGGCGATCGGCGACCTCCGGCGCCTCCTCCCTCGCCGCCTCCTCTAGGCGGGCCTTCTTACTTGGGACCAGTCCGGCGTCACCGCCGTCGCTCGGGTGGCTGCTGCTCCGGCGCTTGCGGCTGACTCTGGCGGGGGGCGGGTCACAGCGCGCAGGGGTCTCCGGGGCTCGCGGCGCTTCCTCTTGCGTGTCCATGGGCTCCGGGAGCTGCTCGGCGTCGGGGGGCGCCGCGCCCATTGCAGCGTCGGCTTCCCGCGGTGGGCGCAGGCGAGGGTCCAGAGTACCGCCAGACGGCGGGAACTCGGGCTGGTGGGCCTCCACCTTGGCTGAAAGGTAGAGCTCCCGAGCGCTACGCATGACGAGGGACAGCTGCAGACTCCGGTGCAGACGCAGGCCGCCTCGCTGCATGCGAGAGTGGTACATCTTCCACACCGACAGGGTCATGATGCGCTGCGCTTCCTTCTGCGCTTCCATGCCTGCTCGCTCGACGAGATCTCGGAGCAAAGCCGGGAATGGTTTGAGACGGGCGATGCTGCCAGACGACAAACTCGCTCCGGCACGAGCACTGCTAGAAGTTCCGGCCCGGGAAGCGCGCCGGAGCCCTTTTAATAGAACCAGGATGACGTCACGGAGACGCCACGCCCAGTCAGAAGGCCTCATCCGGGCTTTCCACAGTGGCCTGAGACTCCTTAAAGCCGTAGAGACAAATTTACGCCTCGGAGGAGAAGGGTCTTAGATCCTGGCAAGGAAGAAGTTCCCCACCGCGCCTTGAGACCCCAGGTTGGCCTGGGTTCCCCGCCAGCGAGGCCCACCCGGTAGCCAACGGGTGGCCATCTCCCCGTTGCAGTGGGGAAGGCCCGGGAAGGGGCCCACTCCCCGAGGGCACTGTTCACCGCGCCTACCAGCCAGCTAGTTAGTGGTTTCTGAACAGTGAAGACTCTGCTGCATATTAAACACGCCGGGGCTGTTCGCTTTCTCTTTACTCAGCGTCTCTGGTCCCTCCTCCTCAGAAGGCACAGTTAGGTCTACTTTTTCCAGGTGAGAGACCTGACGGCGATCACCCAACCAATATTTACTAAACAAGGAAGCAAGCAACTGAGGCCGGCAGCCCTCGAACCTCCATCCTCGCGGACATGGGTGGAAAGTTGGCGCGGACGACGCTGGCTGACCCTGGAGGGAGCCACCTCACAGCGCTCACGCTCAGCGTTGAACATCCCCCAGCTTCCCGCAACCCAGTGCCGCGGAAGCCCCAATGAGCACCCTTCGCACCCCGGGAGGCCGAATTACCCCAAGAAAGGTATCAGTGCCAACGAGAAGGCTCAGTGGGTAGAATCACTGGCTGCCAAGCCTGACGACCGGAGTTTGATTGCGCGCGCGAAAACACACACACACAGATACACAAAGACAAATACACGTCGGTTCCACCCCGCGCCACTCGCCTAAGAAAACCTGATTCTAGATGCAAAGGGGTAAAAAAGTTATAACAGTGCCTGTCACTTGCTGCGCTTGCCCTTTAAGGAACACCCCCACACCAACGCGTAGACTTCCCGCCACTGCAGCCGGCCGACTTCCCTGGCTAAATTTGGGTGTAGTGACGTAGGGCGGCGCCGCGAGCTACTTCCGGATATCCTTATAAGGATAAGGGCCGACCGTCTTGGCGGGAGCAAATGGGCTTCCGGGGCGGAGCCTCCATCGCAGACCACACCCCTTCATTCCGGGCACTTCCCGCCCTAGCGTTGTCGTTGATACTTCTGTGGTTGGTACAGCCGTCCTCTGAGCGGTCACCTTAGAGTCCCAACGTCCCTCCGCTGGACCCAGTGATTATGTTTTCCTTTTCTTATGCTATGCCCTCGCTGCGGCATCGTTATGCGGGATGAATCCTCGTGGAGTGAGCCTGTGGGGTTTTCGGAAAAACAGCTTCGAAACCCTCCTGCATTCGCAGGTGTAGTGGGCAAAGTACTGTGTATGGCTCTGTTCCCTCCTCCCACCTTTCAGGGGAAGCTACCCGGATACTCAGGCTTGGTGGTGTGTCCTTTACCCGCTGAGCCATCTCGCCGACCTTCTAATTTTTGGTATTTTGAAACAGGATCTGACTTGCGCAGCTACACTGTCCTGGAACTCATGAAGATACGACTGCATTTTGCCGTGTGTGTGTGTGTGTGTGTGTGTGTGTGTGTGTAGTGTGCTTGCATGCCTGTGCACCACGTGCTTGTAGTGGCAGCGGAGACCAGAAGGGGGCGTCAGATCGCCAGGCACTAGAGCTGTTATGTAGGTGCTGGGAACCCAACCTGTGCGCCTTTTTCCTTTTTGCTGGGGAAGTTTGAGGGTCACCCTTCGCTAGCAGCGAACAAACTCCTGCACCCGCCGAGTTGGGGGAGGGGGTTGATAATGTCTCTCCAGGACCCTTTCTTTGTAGTACGAGGGTGACAGTGGCGGGAAAGGGATGGGAGGGAGCAGTCTTGTGGCTCCAGTGCCAAGGTGCAGACCAGCGCGCGCCAGGCAGTTCGGGTACAGCCGTCCCGGTGGCGGGTCTCCCTGTGATGGAGTGGAAGGAAATTTGGAGGGTCACTATGTAGCTCTAGGTGTCCTGGAACTCACTCTGTGTGCCAGGCTGGCCTCCGACTCACAGACACCTGCCTGTCTCTATCTCCCAAGTGCTGGGATTAGAGGCGTGCACGACCATGCCAGGTTACAGCAAATGTTCTTAACTGCTGAGCGAACTTGATCGAATGAGTTCCTTATCCCGCTGGGACCCCATAAAGTTAACGGAAAACTAGGATTATTGATGTTGGCTTAAAAGGGAACTGACGTTCCACAGCACCAATCTGAGTGAGGTTCGACCCAATTCTGTAGGATTTAGGGCGTGAGGGGGTGAGGCTTGTGCACTGGACGCCCATAACCAAAATGGCCGAGGTGCAGGCGGAAGTCCATTCGCTTTGGCCCTCTAGGGCCGCTCTTTCTCTCTGGGCGGCTGGGCTCTCGATGGTGGCCCCCGCAGGAGAGAGGGTGGCAGCATGTTGACTTCTCAAGCGGCGAACAAGCTCCTGCACCCGCTGAGTTGGGGGAGGGGGTTGATAATGTCTCTCCAGGACCCTTTCTTTGTAGTACGAGGGTGACAGTGGCGGGAAAGGGATGGGAGGGAGCAGTCTTGTGGCTAGCCAGTGCCAAGGTGCAGACCAGCGCGCGCCAGGCAGTTCGGGTACAGCCGTCCCGGTGCACGGGTCTCCCTGTGATGGAGTGGAAGGAAATTTGGAGGGCTGTTGGGGTGTCTGAGCTTTGGTTTGTTTGGGGGCGGGTGCAAGGATCCCTGTCCCGAGTCGAGGTGTAGATAGCGGCGAATATGGCCGGTGGGCAGCACCAGCGCTGGTGTGAGCTCCTGCAGGGAAGTGCTGTAGCGGGGCGGGAAGAGCTTGACCTGACCGCCATGAGCTGCGCTTAATGGCCTGTGAAGTGTCGAGGACCTGGAAGAAACGATCGATCGATATCCCGGGGCTTAAGAAAGGTGGTATGACAGAGCCTCTGGCTACAGTAGGGGGCGGTGGGATCCAGCCCTCAAGGAAACTGGACAGCTAGGAAGTGTTAAAGGCTGGCGAATGGGGGGAGTTTAAATGTCTCTAGCTTTGACCCTTTACTGAGTTCACGCATAGTGGAGGCCAATCCAGGCAAGTTCAAGCTCCCAGCAGGAAAGGTGTTCGCAAAGCGGTTCAGGAGGATGTGCTGGGAGATAGGTGTGTTTTGTTTTTAAGACAGGGTTTCACTGTAACCTGGTAGGACTCATGAGTGCTGGAATTAAATCGTGCACCACATTTAGCTTGCGTTAGAGCATCTAGACTCTTATCTACATCCATAGGAAATGAAGGACCACTTAGCCCAACTGCTCTGACCTTCATGGAATCATAAAGAGATAATGCATTCGTCCAGCCCAGCATCACGAGGTGTTCCTTTCTGTCAGCCTGACCCTGTGCGTGTTGTGTTCTGTATGTGTGAACCTGCCCTTGTGTCAACTTCCAGCCTCTGCATTCTTTGGTTATCTACCTGCCTCTTTATAAGTATCTACACCTAAGCTCTCATTACCTAAATGATGTGTCTGTACTAAGCAGGCACGACCTGCTGTCCTCAGTGCTCTTCAAACACATGGGGGGGTATAGAGATAAGGAGAATCTATGGTGAGTTGAGCATGGTGATTTATACCTCTAATTTCAGCACCCAGGATTGTAGCCAAGTTCAAGGCTATTGTGGTCTACATAGCAAGTTCCAGGCTAGCCAGAGCTACATATAGAAACCCCATCTCAAGCAAAACAACATTCATGGTAAACTTGGTGATGTGGCTCATGCTTCCTCACCAATCCAGGAGCTCAGAAGGCTGATGCAGGAAGCTTGGGCCTAGATAAGGAACTTACTTTTTTACATTTCCTTGGAGGACCCTGGAATTTATCCTTAGGTCACCAGGCTTGGCATCAAGTGTCCTTACCCTCAGAGCCATCATCAGCCCCAGTCCTGTCTTCTTGTTTTTGAGCTTCTGTTTCGTGTTTTTTTCTCTTTATTTTTGAGACAGGGTTTCTCTGTGGCTTTGGAGGATGTCCTGGAACTAGCTCTTGTAGACCAGTCTGATCTTGAATGCACAAAGACCTGCCTGACTCTGCCTCCTGAGTGCTGGGACAAAAGGCGTGCACCAACACCGCCTGGCTTTTTTTTTTTTAAGATTTATTGTGAATAGTTCTGTCTGCATGCATCCCTGCAGGCCAGAAGAGGGCACCAGATCTCATTATAGATGGTTGTGAGCCACCATGTAGTTGCTAGGAATTGAACTCAGGACCTCTGAAAAAACAATGCTCTTAACCACTGAGCTATCTCTCCAGCCCAAGATTGTCTATTTCTTAAAAAAAAAAAAAAAAAAAAACCCTAACATATGTGTATGTGTGTCTCTTGTGTATGTACACATGCATGTGGGTTCCCACGGAGGCTCTAAGGCATCTGATCCTCTGGAGTTGGAGTTATATGAGCTTGTAAGGTGCCTGACATGGGTGCTGGGAACAGAACTCAGGTCCTCTGTAAAGCAGTAAGCCCTCTTAATCACTGAGCCATTCTTTCAAGCCAAGAATTTCACTTTTTTTCATTCTTTTTTTAAATTGTTGTACACCAGGCCAAACTATGTAGTCCTAGCTTGCCTCAAACTCAAAGAAAGATCTGCTTGCTTGGATGTTCCAGACCACTGGGATTAAAGACATCCAACCTGTAAGACCCCTTTAAAACATGTCTGGGGGTTGGGACAAAAAAGTTGGACCTAGTGGCACATGTTCAAGGCCAGCCTAGTCTACAGATCAAGTTCCAAGACAGGGATACAAAGAAAAACCCTGTCTCAAAACAAAAAAAAACAAAAAACAAAAAAAAAACTGGGTGGTGGTAACACACACCTTTAATCTCTGTACACAGGAGGCAGAGGTAGGCAGATCTCCAAGTTCAAGGCCAGCCTGGTCTATACAGAGCAAGTTCCAGGACAGCCAGGGCTATGCAAAGAAACCCTATCTCAAAGAAAGGAAAACAAAACAAAAAGCCCTTCCACATCTTGCCCTTCCTCAAATCACTGTCTGTGAAGTTGTACCACGAAACACCCTCCACCCCACCCATCACCCTACCCATACTCCCACAGCCCTGCTAAATCAATAAAACAATGTGGTAAGGTCTACAGAAATATTAACAACCTAGCCTAAAGACAATTCAGCCATCTGACCTACTATCAGGGACCAGCCCCAATCTGAGAAGCAAAGGGGCCTTGGAATATTGAAGGAAAAAAGAAAGTGTAGTCTCCTATCAAGGAGGCCAGGAAAGTCCAGAAAGATTTCCTGCAGCAAATCTGTGTCCAAGGCTCCAGGATTTGGCCATGGATCATTCTGTAGCCCAGACTGGCCTTGAACTCAGCAACCAACCCTCTTGCCATGTTCTGGCTCAGTAGGAGAGTGCTTGCTTAGCATGTTTTAAGCTGTGGGTTAATTCCCTAGCATTTCATAAACAGTGTGTGGTGGCCCATACCGGCAGTTTTAGCACCAGGAGGAGCAGAAGTTCAAGATCATCCTCAGGTACTCAAGGAGTTTGGGGACACATGAGATACCATCTTAAAATCCTAAAACCTAGGGGCTGGAGAGATGGCTCAGAGGTTAAGAGCACTGGTTGCTCTTCCAGAGGTCCTAAGTTCAATCCCCAACACCCACATGGTGGCTCACAACCATCTGTAATGAGATCTGGTGCCCTCTTCTGGCCTGCAGGCATACATGATGTGCTATATACATAATAAGATCTTTAAAAAAAATCTCAAACACAGCACACATACACAGAGTTAAAAACAAAAAATAGGCTAGATGGCAGACACCTATAATCTCAGGTGCTTTGAGACGTTTGTTTTTCAAGAAGGGCTTTTCCGATGCTCTGGCTGGCTGTAAACTTAAGAGATCCACCAGCCTCTGCTTCTGAGTGCAGTGATCACCACCACCCAGCTTACGTATTATTTATGAATTTAATGATCTCTATTTCAATTTGAGGAATAAGGACCATAGCTTTCTTAAGCTGGGCAGCACTTGTGTTTTGGAAGCAGGGGCAGAGATCCAGGCCAGCCAGAGCTATATAGAGAAACCCTGTCTCAAAACCAGCAAACAATGAGGAAACTGAGGCATGTCACTAAGTGGCAGGTCTGGGGAGGCAGCCCACCCAGTCTGTATTGCCACTCATTGTCTTGTCAGTCTGCCTCAAACCCACCCTGGCCTTGCTGTCAGTGTTGTCCTGACTCTGCCAGCAGCCTAGAAGCCTCAGTCCTCTCCACACCTAGAACAGCAAGCTACCCAGCAGGTTTGTGGGGGTTGGGGACCCTCAGGTTTTCCAGCAGCTTCTCCTTCCCACTCAGCAGTTAGATGAACCACTAGGATCAACAGCTAGAAACGATGTCTGGGAGCATCCAGGTTCTGAAACTCTTCGGGGAGTTGGAGGGGCATGACTCTGACTTCTCTGGTGCACTGGGGCTGATTCTACCACAGTACTGGCAGCACACTGGATGCCTTTACTCAAGAACTAGATCAGTCTCTGATAGATCAGGTCTCAGAAGGATGGCTAAAGCGTCCCCCATGAGTGGCGTGACTGTAAGAGGGAAGTAGCTAGTGCCCGGTCCTCGACTTCTGCCACTTGTCTTCAGTGGTGTGTCATTGTGGTGCTCTAGGTGTCATTTCCTGGGCCCGATTTTACTCCTCCTTTTCCAATTTGGGATGTGTCTGTCTACTGGAAAGGAAGTGAACCTGGAGAGCCTACCCAAGGATCTTTTCCAGAGCACCTAAGCTTCTGCTGCTGGTTCCAATTCAAGTGCTCTGACAGGGTGATGATGTGGAAAGATCCTGCACAGACTCTGCCCCAAAGCCACCCCCCATGCCTCCTAATCGTGTCAATAGACATAAAACCCAGCATTAAACAAATCTGTATGGTATGGTTTTGATTCAAACTTTGGCCAATCCCTTTTGGATGGCTTCCCTAAGATTCCTGCTCACCCTCTCAGGGGCTCAGGTGTCTGTGTACATTAGGAACTCAACTGCCAATGTTTATTCTGTTTTTGTGTGTCCTGTGTGTCTCTCCCCCGCCCCCAGACAGGGTTTCTCTGTGAAACAGTCCTGGGATTCCCTTTGTAGGCCAGGCTGGCCTCAAACTCAGAGATCCATCCACCTGCCTCTGCCTCCCAAGTGTTGGGATTAAAGGTGTGCAACACCACTGCCTGGCTTTGTTCTAATTCCTTAAAAAACAAAAAACAAAACAAAACCTGTTGTTCTTGTTAGTACACATGTTCCATGGGACATGTAGAGGTTGTGAGTTCTCTCCTACCTTTACATGGGTTCCGGGTATCCAATACAGGTTCACTAGGCTTCTACAACAAGTACCTTTTTCTGATGAGCCATCTCACTTGCGTCAAACCCTATTTTCTGAGAGCTGAGTATGGGCTTTCTTTTCACCATACCAAAACACGAGCTCCTGGTCTTAGTGAAACACGGGACTGGAAAGCAGGGGCAAAATGAGTCACAAGTCACAGGCCAACCTAAGCAGTGTTAGGGAGCTGTTTCATAAACCACAAACTCACCTAATCCCAGGTAGTCCTGGGAATTAAGATTTTAATTTTCATTATCTTCACAAGGATGTTACCTCTACAGACATACTCCTCACAGAGAGGGGTGGACTTGGGCCTGTCTGAAGGCACAGTGAAGGCCAGTGACCTAATGAGACCTGAGCACTAAACTCCCACCTTCCTCTCTGGACAGACTTTGTGTAGCCTCAGACTTGCCATGTAACTAAACTCCCAATGGTCTGACTTTCGATCCCCTGGGTATAAGCTACCACCACTTTCCCATGCTTTGTTCTTTTGACCTTTCTTGGGGCCTTCTGCGTGCTCCTCTGCCTCGGAGCCACAGACTGTTTTCAGTTGCACTTGTGATCTCAGGCTCAGCTGTAGTTTAGTAGCAGCACAAGGACTCCAACACACAGTAGTAACTGTTAGAAGGCAGGTGTGCACCTGGATGGGTGGCCAGCATGTCCCTCTCCAGTGAGCAGAGCACAGCAGGGCTGTTACAAAGGCGTCTTGTTTATTCTTATCAGCATCACTGACTCTCAGGGTTCACATTTCCCAACACCGCTCCTCTCCTCTCCGTACAGTAGTTAATGTGCAATCTCACTTGTGGGCCTGGGAGGGGTGGGGGCTTGGCTCTGGGTGGGGAGGGCATTGGCACTTCACATGGGCCAGTGGGTGATGGCCTGTCCCCATGAGAGGTGTGGATGGGTGGGAGGGTGCACTGGGTTTGCCCCTAGTTGTCTTTCCTGCTAGGTGGGTTACTTTTTCACTCTCCTGGATGCTTGGGGTGGGGAGCATGCAGCTCTCAGGAGGGCAGGGCAAGCAGCTGATCCCCAGAGGAGGGGCGCAGGGGTGGCTCCTGAGGTAAGGCACAACCCTGTCTTTGGCTCTCCTAGTGAATAGTTTTCTCCCCTGCACCCCTGGCTTTATACCTCCCCCACCCCAAGCCCCGGGAGTCAGGGCCACCTCCTGAGGTGCTTGGAACCCATGGGCTCTGCTGCCCACTCCACCACAAGACCTTTCAGTCCCATGGAGCTGCCCCCTGACTAAGCCTGGGCAGGGAGCACAGCCTGTCCTCACCATGGCCAGGCTCAGCTGCCTGCCAAGTTACCAGGGCATTGTGCTTTGGGATCTTTGCTGGGGGAGATGGGACAACAGGCCAGGGCAGGGTGGAGGGAGGGGGTATGACTAAGGTGCTTGTGCTTTAGCTAGGGGTGTCAACTCCCCTCCACTTGGCCACCCAGGTATTGGGGTCAAGTCAGACCCAACACCCCACCCTCACCATCAGATGTTAAGAGGGACCCTGGCAGATTAGAGGGTGCTGCTGGCCTGGGGGCAAGTCTCCAGATCTGACTCAAAAGGCTCCGTCCCACCTTCTCCAATCCTGCAACCCCCTGCCTCTGAAGAGACAGCTAGAATGCAGAGTTGGGGAGAGGGAGGGAGGTCAGGGCTAGAACAGAACCAGTGAGATGGTGAAATGACACTAATGCAGGGGAGTAACAGAAACCCTGTGCTCACATATTAAACTCAGAAACCCAAGAGCTTGCTCCTGGAGAGTTAGAGTGAAAGGAACGGCCAGAGAAAGCTCCACACCACCAACAATGGATGTGGACCCTGCCCTGCCTCATCCCCCAGGAGTGGGCTCAGCCAACTGGGACCTGTGAACACCCTTAAACTGTAGTCCTGGGGAAGAGGAAGCTGGTTGGATCCACAGGAGCCCTGGGGCACTGGGACTGGGCCCCTGTGGAAACATGCACCCACATTCCATACACACACACACACACACACACACACACACACACACACACACACACACACACACATTCTATTTTCCCTGCATCCTGCCTTCCACAGCCCAGGGACCCAGGGGACCTCAGACACATTCCCATTGATTTGAAAAATAAAAGGAAATCTTATACTTCAATATTTCATTCGCTAAAAAAATGTTTCAAAAAGTTATGTACAGGGGGTGGGGGCTGGGAGCCCTGCCCAGGGTCGGATGGGAGAAGGGCAGCAGCCTCCCAGCCTGCTCCCTGGTTCCGACCCTGGTCTTGCTGCCTCTTGATCTTCATGTTTTTAAAAGCAAACACTCTACACAGGCACGCACGCACACACGCACGCACACCCACAAATTCTGCCAGACTGGAAACCTGTCCTGAGACTCTCGCCTGCCCACAGGAGGAGCACTGCTCTCTTAGAACCAACCTCTTGGGCTGAGGGGCCCACAGAGGCAGAGCAGGGTGGGATTTAGAGGGGTATGATGGAGGCTGCCACAGAGGGTCAGTTCTAGAATTTCTCTAAGCCATTTGGGCTTGTTTCCTTAGCTATAAAGTAGACAGTCCCTCTTGGCCTCACCTACCCCAGCCCCAAGGTGCAGGGACAGACGAGAGGGACAGGAAGGCGCTTTTGGAGACATGGAAGCACTGGGGGGTGGTGGGAGGGGTTCTGAGAACCCCTGGGCCCATGGAGTCCCAAGCAGCCACAGTGAGGGGCAGGCTCTTCTTGAGCTCTGCCCGTCCCCTAGCCGGGCCTGGTGCTGGGAAATGCCTAAGAGGAAGGGGAACAGGGCTCCCCATGAGTGTTGAGGAAGGTCACAGATCCCACCTGATGCCTGTCCTCTTCTGACCCAGCCCAGCTTGCTTTGGGGAAAAGGTGTGGGATGACAGGGAGGCAGAGAGGCTGGGAGCATGCAGCACCCCCTGCAGGTTCCAGGGAGGGACAGACAGTAGCTCGTGACTAAGGTGGTGGGGGTATGTGACAGGAGGGGGAGTGTGACATCCATGGGAGGGTCCTAAGCGGTTACTGGAGGACCTCCTCTAAGGGGCTGTCTGTCTGGAAGCTGTCTTCTATGCCCAACATGTTCAGCTCTTTCTCACTGTCATTGAGAAAGCTGCTGTAGGTGCTGTCCTCTGTTAGATGCAGTGGCTTGGCTTTGGTCAGCCAGCTCTTGCATTCTGATAGAGGGCATGGAGTGCTCCCTCACATGTCCTAAGGAGGGACAGACAGTAGATCGTGACCAGGTGGTAGGTGGGGGGGGTGTGTGATAGGAAGGGGAGTGTGACATCTGGTAAGGGGAGGTGTCACACATGTTACTGGAGAACCTCAGCCGAAGGGCCGGCCTCGCCATCGTGGCTGGCTGTCTCGAAGCTGTGTTCCATGCTCATCATGTCCGGCTCTATCTTGCCAGTGTCGCTGATGAAGCTGCTGTAGCTATCACCCTCTACCAGGTGCAGTGGCTTGGTCTTGGGCAGCCAGCTCTTACGTACCACTCGGCGGGCATTGGTGCACATGTCAGCTGCAATGGCATTCATCTCGCTCTCCTTGAAGTTGGGGGCGAAGTTCTGGCAGTAGTCTGTGGGGGTAGAGTAGGTAGCTCGGGCCTAGACTCCTCCTATTAAATCTCCCAGCTTCTATGAATGTCCAGTGGATATCATAAACTATATACCAAAACTCTGCGGCCCACCTGGGTTCCCACCCACTTAGGGACATACAGTGCTATAGAATTCAGAGCCTGCTTTAATCCCAGCACTCGGGAGGCAGAGGCAGGTGGATCTCTGTGAGTTCGGAGGCCAGGCTGGACCGACAGCTTCCAAAAAATACAGAGAAACCCTGTCTCATAAAAACAAACAAACAAACAAACAAAAAAAGAATTCAGAGCCTGGGAGGCTGCCAATGCAAACCTGGGCCTCCTCTGACAAGTGGCTGCCACTGCCACAGACTTGCCCTTTGACAGGTCTGGCCACCTCAGTCTTCTCTCACTACCCTGGATTTGAGATTCTCTTCCATGATAAAGGCATTCAGGTCCCTTCCACATTATATGCCAAATGTGAAGAAACCCTAATTGTAGCCTCTCTCCCAACAAGCCACAAGAAAACCTCAGAACCATTCCTACCACCTTCCAATGTAGCTGTGGCTGACCTTGAACTCTTGCTGCTTCTGTCCCAGCCTCTTGAGTGCTGGTCAGCAACCATTTGTTTGTTTTTAGAGGGTTTCTCTGTGCAGCCCTGGCTGTCCTGAACTCACTCTAGACCAGGGTGGTCTCAAACTCACTGAGATCCGCCTGCCTCTGCCTCCTGAGTACTAGTATTAAAAACATGTGCTATCACTGCCTGGCCAAAACCCTTTTCAAGTCTTAAAATTTATTATTTGGATTTATGGCAGTCAGAGAACAACTTATAGAAGGCTGCAGGGCATCAAACTCAGGTTGTTCAGCTGCTGAACCACCTGCCCCAGACACCCCACCCCCCTTTCCAGGCAGGGTCTCTCTACATAGCCCCGGCTGTCCTCAAACTCACAAGAGATTCACCTTCCTCTGTCTCCTGTGTGTATGTCACCATGCCTGGACACAGAACCCTCTTAAACTGTTAGGTGGGCTGGCCAGTGAGCGCTAGGGATCATCCTGTCTTGTTTCCCCAGGGTTAGACATCCAGGTTTGCTGTGAATGCTAGGGATCTGAACCCAGGTCCTCCTGCTTAGGAGGCAAGCACTTTATCCACTGAGCCATCTCAAAACTCAACTCCTAGCCCTATATGCTGGCACAGGCTTTAAATCCCAACACTTGAGAGCTCAAGTCCGACTGACCTACATAGTTAGTTCTGAGACCCTGTCTCAAAAAAACCCAAAGCCAACCTACCAACCAAACCCAATTCCACCCAGCTGTCATGTCAACACTGAAGGAAAACAACTAAAGCAGTGGTGGCCTTTAATCCCAGCACTTGGGAGGCAGAGGCAAGTGTACCTGAGTTGGAGGTCAATCTGATCTACAGAGCAAGTTCCATGATAGTCAGGGCTACACAGAGAAACCCTGTCTCAAACAAACCACACACACACTTTCACACACTCACACTCACTCTCACACACTGGAAAGTTATCTGCTAACCCAGGCCCCAGCAACACTCACACTTGACAGCATGGAGGACGCGACTGTCCAGCGGCTTGCGTCTGGGGTCATTGGTGGAAGAACGGATGCCAGTGCCACAGCTATTGGCCAGTGTGTTCCTGGAGGCGGGGAGAGGTATGGAGGACATCAGAGTTCCTGGTAGAGGTGTGAAGGGACAACCTGTTCCCCAACCCTGGGGTATACCTCACCGGTCAAAGAAGGAAGCCAGGAGCCGCCGCAGCAAGACCTTGTGCCTCGTGCCTGCGCTGACGTGGCAGTTCATGAGCTGTGCCCTTGTGATGTACACATTGGTGCCTGGTAAGAAAAGTCACATGATCTGGACCCAACTCTCAACTCACCTAGTCTGGACACCCAAGTGTGCCATGGTAGTCTGAATACACATCTAGGTAGGTACAAACAAGATGGCAGAGGCCCTGAAAGACTAGTGCCCCTAGGCCCCTATGGCAGTGAGCTCCAACCTTCTGGCCCAGCCACATTACCCCCCACCCCCACACCACTAGCTCCTATGGTCCAAAAACCTACAGACTGATCTTTGATGAGAAGCAGTTTATCTCTCCTCCCTCTCCGTGTTCCTTTCTTTTTGGCTGAGACAGTGTTTGCTATGTAGTGCATACTTGTTCAACTCTGAATCTAGGATCCCAGATGTGCTCCATCTCTCCTAAAGACAGCTTGGTACCACTCTCCTCATCTACCTCCCTTTGGGATCTAGCCCAGCAGTGCTGGTGCACACCTTTCATTCTGACATCCAGGAGGCAGAGACGAACCTTTGAGTTCAAGGTTAGCCTGGTCTATAGAGCGACAACCAAGGCTACCCAGAGAAACCCTGTCTCAATACACCAAACCAAACCTAAAAAACCAAAACAACCCCAAAACTTGGGATTTCTCTAGCATGCTGGTACTACACTGAGTCAGATCCCAGTCTTAAGCCCAACTAATCTTTTTTTTTGTCTTCTTAAGACAAGGTCTCATGTACCCCAGTCTAGCCTCACACTTGCTATATAGTCAGGACTGACTATAGTTTTTGACCCGTCTGCATCCACCTCTAGTGTGCTGGAATTACAGATGTGTATCACCATATGCCTAGTTCATTCAAGACTTGGTATGGAATCTAGGGCTTTATGCTAGGTAAGGAGTTCCCAGCCCAAACTCATCTAATTCAAATCCTCTCGTCAGGTCAGCTGCTTCCAACAGCTGTCCTGACACATAGGTAGGGCACTAGCTAGTAATAACTGTGACATGAGACCAGAGGTTGCAGAACACAGGAACTGGGGACTAAAGTACAGCCAGCACACCTGTCACGAGCTCCAGCTTCTCAGACGGGTCACCTTCATCATAGAGCTTTGGGTGGCAGCGGTTGCCAATCTGATTGATAAGTTCAGCTGGGAGAGATGCCAGGTCTTGTCGTACTCGGATGCGACTTCGAGACTCGAGGACCACCTGCTCAGGGAGGGCCTCTACCTTCTCAGCTGTGGGAATAGGGGCAAATATATTCATGTTACTTACACGCATGCATTCACGCACGTACACTCATGAGGGAGGGGTGGCACTCACCTGTTTGGCCAACGTTCAACATACTGTACATGGTGTACATATTGCAGATCTGACGGTACTGTTCATCTGTACCTTCCTCACCCGCATCTTCTTCTTCATCCTCCTCATTGTGGTAGGAGCCAGGGCTGTCACTGGTGTAAGCACTGGAGGTACCTGGGCTGGTCCGCTCTGACATGCTGGGTCCACTCACACATCCCCCCACTGCAACCACAGCCACTGCAGCTGTAGCTGTGGCCACTGAGACTGGCTGGGGCATCCGATTAGTGGCCAGGTCTGGTGTGGAGAATTTGGCCATCTTGCGGCTGCCATTGTTGCTGCCACTGCCTCCAGCCTCCTTCTGGCTGCTATCCCACAGCCTCTTGGCCATGGGTGTGCATTGCACGGAGTCCAACTCCTGTTCCGTCTTGACCCGTGACACAAGGGGCAGTGGCGTGCTACAGGCTGGCCAGCCTAGTGTCTGTGCTACAGGACTCTGAGGCTCTGAGGATGGGGCCTCCTCGGGGTGCAGGCCCTGGGAGTCGCAACTTGGAGAGCTAACTTTGAGGAAGAACTCGGTGCCCTTCTCCATGATCTCCTGGATCTGCAGGAAGCCGGCTGTGTAGATGAGCAGGAACTGGTCCCCCATGTTCATGCTCAGCCGGCCTGTATAGCAAAACGTGAGGATCTGCTGGAATGACTGTGGCTGCACAGCGGCGGGCAGTTCTACCACAGCACTGCGGCTGCTGTTGAATAGGTCCCGGAAGTAGGAGCTGCTGGCGGCAAGCACAGCACGGTGGGCCTTGAAGGCATGGCCCTTAACCACCACTGACACGTCACAGTACAGTCCCTGCAGCCGCTGCTCATTGAGGCACTCAAGGATGCTGTTGCCAAAGTTTGGAATCTCCATCTGCAGGGTCTGCGCCATGGCAGCAGCTGCATGAGGACAGGAGATAAGATACTGGACAGGTCAGGTGGCAGAAACCAACATAGGCCCTGCCCTGCCTCAGCAACCTCACCTGCAGGAGCCACAATATCCACATGGTGAAATCTGTGCTATATCTAAGAATGGCAGTACCACCTCTACTTCCTGTCCCTACACAGCCCTGCCTTTATGACATAACCATCCTGTGGACATCTGAAGAGCACTGGTTCAGGGACACTACAGATACTGGAATCCACAGCCACTCAAGGCCCTTTGCTTTCTTGTGGTGCTAGGGATGGAAGCCAGGGTCTTCAGTGTGCGAGGCAAGAGCTCCATGACTAAGCTTCTGGACTTCATGCTACTCAGGCTAGCCTCAAAGTCTTGGTCCTTCTGCCTCCACCTCTAAAGTGCTGGGGTTACTGATGTGGTGCCATGTATTTTAAATGACCTCTAGATCTTTTTAAAAGTTCTGCACAGTGCTGAGGATGGAGCCCAAGGTTTTACATAAGCTAGGTACATGCTCTACCACTGAGTTTCACCATCAGAGGAACTCTTTGTGGATCTATGGTTGGTTGAATATGAGGATGCGGAACCTGCAGACTCTTGAGAGCAGATGGCCAAGATCAGTCCTTTGCACGAGAAGACACAGGCATACTACACCAACATTCTTATAATGTATATAAGAATAGCTACTGGAGTGTCAATACAACTGTCTGCAGCCCAGAATATGACCCTTGGCACTCACTGATCAAGCTGTTAGTCACTATGGAAGTGCACATTCAAACATAATGCAAAACAGGTATTACCTCATACTGTAGGCCTGAAAGCAGGAAAGGGCTGGGGTGTTTGAACAAGGCTCTAAGTTCAGCCACCCCAACCCCCACTGTCAAATACAGTAGGTAGTAGTACCAAAAGTAAGAACTATAAACTCTTACATACTCTGGCAAGAAAACAATATGGGAAAAGTATTTGGGGAAAGTCTCAAGGTTCTTCATATGATAGGAAAAAGCCAGGTAGTTTATTAGGACCACATGACATATCATTCCATTTATATGAAATGTCCAAAACAGGCAAATCCATTAAAACGTAAAACAGGTAGGTAGTTTCAAGCTGAGAAAGAAGAAATGGATTTGCTTAGGGCAGAGGGATGTGTGCTTACTCTTGGTGTAATGAACTGTCACTTAAAGTTAACAATCACCAGGGTTGGATGGCTCAGCAATTTTGAAAGCATTGGCTGCTCTTCCACAGGTCCCTGGTTTAATTCCCAACACCCACATGGCAGCTCACAACTGTCTCTAACTACAAGATCTGACACTCTCACACAGACACAGATGCAGGCAAAAAACAAACAAACAAACAAAAAACCCAATGCACAAAAAAATAAATAAATAACTTTTAAAAAAGTTAACGACTGATCACTGATAGAATGTTTCCTAACTCTGAAGATATGAAAGACTACTATAAAGTCAGGTGTGGTAGTCCTAGCAACTCTGGAGGGCAGAGAAGAGGATTCATTGAACTTAAAGATAGAGGTTAGTTTGGGCAATATAGATCCCCATCTCAAAAGTAAGTGACTGTTACAGTTTAAAGGGGTAGAGTGCATGGTCTATCTCAAATAACTGTTGAACAAAAACAAAAGCAAAAACCCAAACAGCTGGGATATAGCACTGGCTTACACGAGGCCAGGACTCTGCCCTGCCAAGTCCCCACTCCCATACAAACAGAAAAGGAGACTGCAACTGGTTTCCTCTGCACAGAGCTGGGAAGCTGTGCAAAGTACATTTTTCTGATCTTAAATTTTGGACCTCATGGGCCTACTGATCATTTGTTTAAAAATAACAACAAAACATTTCTTACTGCTTTTTGTTTGTGGACCAGTTTCTGCTAAATGTAGCCTAGGCTAGCTTTGAGCTTGCATTGATTAGCTTCAGTCTCCTCAGTGCTGGGCAGCCTCTACATCCAGCTCCAATGTGCCCCCTCCCCCAACAAGGTCTCATTATACAGTCCCAGGCTCGTTTTGAACTCACACACAGAGATCCACCTGTCTCTACTTTCCAAGTGCTGAGGTTAAGTTACTTGGCTTACTTAAATGGTTTTTAAGAAAATGACTCAATTAACACCCACATAGTTCCAACACTCAGAGGATAGGCTAAGGAAAAGTTTCACTGTCACTCTGACTGGCCTGGAGCTCACTGTGTAGATCAGACTGGACTTAAACTCACAAGAGATCCATCTGCCTCTTATTCCCAAATGCTGGGATTAAGGGCATGCACCATGACTCTGGGCTTTTTTTAAAATCACATTTATTCATTTTGTGTTTTGCCTGCAAGTATATGTGTGCTTAGTGCCCTTGGAGATCAGAGAGGGAAATGGAGTTATGGATGGTTGTGAACCACCAAGGGGATATGGGAGTCCAACCCCAGTACTCTGCAATAGCAACAAGTAACTTAATTGCTGAGCCACCCTACACACACACACACACACACACACACACACACACACACACACACACACACAGAGGCACACACACCCCTTAACGTATGGCAAATGCTTTTATCTGCTGAGCTATCTCAACAGTGAGACAAATCTGAAGATCTAGCAAACTGGGCCTTGTCTGTGCTTCATGAAGGCCCCACTGGGGCAGGAAGTGTATCCCTTGGCCATAGGACTGGACCAGGCATGGTAGTATTTGCATGTAGCTCCAGATATTTAGGAGGCTGAGGTGAAAGGATAGCATGAATACAGGAGTTCAAGATCAGCTTGGGGCACATAAACCAACCAGATCTCAACTGTTTCTAACCCTGGTTCCTGGGATTCAGATGCCCTTTTGTGGTTTCCCTGGGCATGGCGTGCCCATGGTACACACATGTAGGGAAGACACCCATAAACATAAAATATACCTCCTAACAGTATTGTTTAAAAAGATTCAATCATCATTCCTATTGCTTCAAATCTAATTCCATGTCTAAAACAAGAGTGGGGGCTCTTGGCCTCCTCTGACAGCCGACCTCAGGACAGCCAGAAGTTAGAATCAAACTTGGGAACTGAGGTCACTGAGCTTCAGACTGTCATGCTGCTGTTGACTCACGGTCTGTGGGAAGGGGGCTGGAAGGGTGTTTCCTGAGAAGAGACCACTCACTGGCTTGGAGAAGACAACCTTGAACAACAGACTTGGGTCCCACCAAGGTCACAGAGGAATGGCAATGCATTGTATTCCTGCACCACAAAAACTCGCAAATAAGCAAACAAACCAGCTTGGTATGATGATGCATACCACAAGTCCCAGCACTGGGTAGATGAGGCTGGCAACAGTGCTGGCCTGGGTCTTAGAGAGACAGTTTCAAAACAATAAATCAAAACACCAAAAAAAAAAAAAAAAAAAAAAAAAAAAAGAAAGAAAAAGAAAAGAAAAAAAAACAAAGAAAAAAAAAAAGACTAATTTGTATGCCAAAATATATTTCTAAGCAATAGTTGCAATAGTAAAGCAGGACTTTGGAAGGCACAGTGGCATACACCTATTCTTTTGGCAAGTGGAGTCAAAATGTAAGTTTGAAGCTGGGATTGGAGAGATGGCTCAGCAGTTAAGAGCACTGTGGTTACTCCTCCATAAGGACTCTAGTTTGATTCCCAGCACCCACATAGCAGCTAACTGTCTGCAGTTCTAGTTCTAGGGGTCTGATGCCCTCTTCTCGATTCTGTGGGCACTGCATGCACATGCTGTAGCCATATATGCAGGTCAAAGAGGCCTGCTTCCAAAAAAATGGGAGGATGGGGACCGGCCTTTGGGAAGTAATTAGTTCATGATGGTTCTCCACCTTCCTGAGATACCCAAGGATATCTGTTCATCCCTCCCACAGTCACCCTCTATGGCCCTCAGTGAACCTTGGAGACTAAGCCTGCAGTACCTTCATCCTGAACTTCCAGCCTCCAGAGTTTGAGCAATAAATTTCTGCTGGGGCAGTTCAATGGCAAAGTCTCTGGTTCCAGCCTCAGCAGCACCAGGGATACATATATTCCCACTCAGACAGAATGAAGGAAATGTAAATATTCTAACAGTAAAGAGAAATGTAGTCTACTTGAATGGATCCTATAATTGGTCCTTTGCTGTTATGTTTGGGAAAAGTCTCAAGATGCTCAGGCTGGACTCTACCTTGAATAGGTAGATAGCAGAGGATGAAACTGAATTTCCACCCTAGCCTCCCAAGTATGTGTATCACCACAATCAGCTAGCATTTATTTCTGTGGTCTCTTGTTTTTGAGACAGAGCCTCACTCTGTAGTCCAGGCTGGCCTTAAACTCACCAATATCTGCCTGCCTCTGCCTCCCAAGTCCCAAGTGCTGGGGCACCCCCACCACACACACATTGAATTTATTTTCTTTCCCTGAAAAGCTGTCATTAAACTCACGGCAGGAATAGGATGAATAGCAGCTCCCTTTCACAGTGCCTGGTAACAGCTCAGACAAGACCATCTCATTTCCTAGGATAATTCCTGAGATGAAATGAGCCTTCTTAACATCTGATTCAGGAGAACAGGCCAGAGAAGCAAAAACAGCAGCCTGGATCATACAAAGAACAAGGCCAAGTAAATTTGTTCCCGAAACAAATTTGTCCATGAAACAGCCAATATTGAGGCAGTTATAACTGGAAATGCTAGTACCAAGACTAGTCACAAATGGTGCAGGCAGGAGCCCGGGATAGGCCAAGTTTCACCATCCAGAAAAGGAATCTGATGGCTATCTGAAGGCCCTTACCAAGGAGCCTCCAAAGGTCAGCCTGATCTGGTTTTTCTCCTGCCCATGCCCCTCCATCTTCTTTCTCCACCAGCATCTCCAGAAACGAGCATCTCTGTTATCTCTTCCTCCCTGCTCTAAGTGGCCCCTGCACCCTAGCTTCTACCTGCAGCAGCTCCAGATCCTTACAGAGCCCAGCACTGTTCTGCCTGTTTTTGTGGAACCCTGGCCTGGGTACTGTCACCAACTCAACTTTTTTTTGGGGGGGGGGTTTCTAGACAAGGTTTCACTGTATTGTTTTGGAGACTGTCCTGTAACTTGCTCTGTAGACCAGGCTGGCCTCGAACTCACAGAGATCCTCCTGTTTCTGCCTCCTGAGTGCTGGGATTAAAAGCGCGCACCACCACTGCCCGGCCCCAACTCAACTCTTTTTTTTTTTTTTTTTTTTTTTTTTTGGTTTTTATGAGGAGACAGGGTTTCTCTGTATTGTTTTGGAGGCTGTCAGACCAGCCCGGCCTCGAACTCACAGAGATCCGCCTGCCTCTGCCTCCCGAGTGCTGGAATTAAAGGCGTGTGCCATCACCGCCAGGCCCAACTCAACTCTTAAGCCTCTTCTAAGTCACAGTGACTCTGAGTGCCTTCAGACCCAAACACTGAGCAGAGGGATAAAGACCAAGTGCAAGCCCTGAGGTGACAGGTGGGGCTGAGAGGGGTGGTTCCATAGTAAATGGGCCTTGCAGAGATGCACAGGAGACCATGCAGGACACAGCGCCAGCAAAGGCAGACATGTTAAACAAGACAATGTGTCAACTCTTGTTTGTTTTCAGTCTTTGTACAAGTAAGTAGTACAGCCTGGCCCCGGATCCTGGCTAAGAGCATCTGCAGATCAAGTATGATGACTGCTTCTACCCATTTATCAACTAAGAAAACTGAGACTTAGTCCTAGCTACCTGGGAGGCTAAGGCAGGAGGACCACTTAAGCTAGTTCTAGTTTAAGGCTACATAGCAAAACAAACTAAGCAACAAAACAAAGACCTGTCTGGAGAACCACATGTCTTAAAACACAGAAGCCTCAACCCCCATATATGATGGCATAGAAGTACATAGAATGTAAATGCATTCTCTGGTAGACTTTTTTCTTTTTGGTGGTGCTGGGGATAGAACCTAGGACTTTTGCACACCAGACTAGCACTCTTCACTGAGCTACACCTCCAGTGCTTCTAGACCTCAAATCTCTAGATGGCTTCTAGAACCAAATCTAATAAAAATGCCACATAAGAGATGTCAGAAGACTAACTAGATGTCTCACTAGGTAAAGCTTGCCTCCTGAACAGTGACCCTGGGGCCCACATGGTAGGAGAGAACTGACCCCAAAGCTGTCGTCTGACCTCCATGCCCTGCCAAATAATTAGACTAAAATGTAATAAAAAACGTAAGTACATAAATCAAATAGGCTAATTGTATTCCCTACTAATCCCAGCATTTGGGAGTCTGAGGCAGGAGGATCATTAGTTCAAGATTGGTCTAGACTATGTATGTGTAGCTAGACCCTGTCTCAAACCGCTATTGTTTGGGGGATAAAGAGAAGAAACAAAAGTCCGTTCAGGGGGGGTGCAGCTCAGTGGTAGAGTGCTTACCCAGCAGGCACAAGCTCTGAACTCCATCCTTAAAATCACAAAACAAAGTGGAGTGTGTACATGTCCAATGTAGACACAACACTGTTTCCGAACAGTTTTCAATGTATGCTATATATGGAGATGTGGAACCTGCAAACAGAGGTATTTCTGTAATCCACTAGGCTTAAATCTCTGACAATGCTTGCCACTGGTGACGCAGAGTTCTGCTGGCTTGATATCAGTCTATAAAATGGATTAACACATGGGCTGGTGACATAGCTCAGGGGGTAAAGACACCTGCTGCTAAACCTGGCAACCTGAATTTGATCTCCAGAATCCACAAGGTGGAAAGAACCAACTCCCAAACTCCCAAAAGTTACTGTCCCACAAACAATGTTTTAAGAAAAAACAAAAACAAAATGACAGAATAGCTGACATCAACATCACCAGCTATTATTGGTACTGTTCCTTGTGCACCTTCCTGTCTATAAATGCTGTCATTTTATGCCTTTCACTATCTCCTGGAACCTGCACTTCTGCAGAGATTACCCATCGGGCAGGAGTCCCTAAGGGTTCCTCAGTGTTTTCACAGCCCAGCACAACACAGACATCACACAGACAACAGGAATCTCCCATAACCATCTTCCCCAAACTAGACACCAGGTATTATTGGAGCATCAAATCCACTTATACCAGGTTATTCTTTTGTTGTTGACAGGGTCTCACTATGCTGCCCTGGCTGTCCTGGATTCACCTGCCTCTGCCACTTAGTACTGGGAATAAAGGTGTTATCACCATGTCTGACCACCAGCTCAATTCTCGGAGGTGGGGAGCTATCCAACCAAGTGTCTTGGACTAATAATAATAAGTAACCCTGGTCCCCTAGAAGCCAGGAGTGCCTCTTCTCCCACCACGACAATCTAAACAAGTGTGTCCTTATGTAGCAGATAGACAGATCGAGGCCTAAGACCTCTAGTCAGGGTCTCAGGACTGAGGAGGGTGGCCAACAGTTGCATCAGACTCTGTTCCATCATAACGGTCACTCGTCCTCATCCCTTCTACTTAGGGAACACATTAAGGCCTGCGAGTTCTGACCTTTGCACCTCTGCTGAGGCAGCACAAAGGAGAGCAGAGGATGACAAGCACAAACTCTAGCATGTTACTTCCGACCTGTCTGATTCTCTCGCGTCAGTGCACTTCAGAGAAGACACCATTAGCAGACAAGTCACTACTGTAAGTTTCAGAGAAAGGGTTATATGGAAGAAAGAACTGCTTGGGCTTTATCATGCACCAGATGGGGATGAAAGCATGCAGGATAGGCTAGTCATGGGCTTGAATGAGCTCAAACACAGGTGCGCAGTGTAACCAGGGGTAGAAGCCTGAGTTTGGAGGCGAAGAAATTCACAAGGGGACACACTGTCAAGCAGCTGTCCTAAGCTCTGCTCAGGTGTGCAGCTGGGCTAGGCAGGTGCTGTTTCACTGGCTCTGGTCAGAGCTCATTGGGCAGCCTTCTAATGGGTCCTGTACACCCCAAACACAGATTCCCAGAAAGCCTAGTTCATGAACCTGAGGTGGGTGGTGGTGGACAGATTTAAGAGACTCTGAATGGTTAGGAGGTAGTGGTGCACGCCTTTAATCCCAGCACTTGGGAAGCAGAGGTGGATCTGTGAATTTGAGGTCAACCTGGTCTACAGCCAGAACTACACAGAGAAACCCTGTCTTGGGGAAAAAAAAGAGAGAGAGAGAGAGAGGAGGCCAGGCCAGGACTGGACCCTGGATATAAGTCAAGGGATCTGAACTTTGCCTGGGGTGCTAGGGAGACCCAATGAGATCCTCTGACTGGGTTCTTCTTTCTTGTGGGCAGCATGAGGGATCTCTGCCCCACACCAGTGTCATTCCTCACTCTACTCTCACAAAGACAAACGTTCTGGTAGCTCAGCAGGAGCCTGGCAAGCACTCAATAAAAGCTTTGAATGTGGTGTTCTCATCCAGAACACCCATCCCCGCCCTAACTTCTTCTTATTCAGATCATGGCCCTTCTTTAACTATCCAATGGGAACCCCGTGGCCCCACACCACTGACCACCTCCTCGCCTGCCTGGTATACCATCTTCTTTAGCAAGGCAACCTAGTTTCTCTGTTCCTCAGAGACCATTGCCTTGTGTAAGTTTGGTCGCCATCTGAACATTTTTGCTAGAGCCAGCTCCTGCTGAATGTTACTCAGAGCTGCCTCTCCAGTTCCCAGCAAGGGAATGGGCACGGAGCGCTGCCCTCCAGCTGTGTGCTTCAGCCTGCCTGCCTGTCCGGCTTCCCCAGGTTCTCACTGAGAAGCACATGTGACCAGTTCACCTTCGGTTCTAGTTTCAAGGGGAGGTGTCGCCTGACCATTTCTGCCTCCATACTGCAAGCCCAACTAACTCCTACCAGGTAGGTCTGCATTCCAGCTGTGACTAGTTGACACCATCTGTTCTCAATACCCAACCCAGCTGAGGCCTGGGAGCAGCCAGTCTATGCCCCATAGCGTCCCTGGTTCAACCAGGTAGTCTACAGTCCCTCAACAGCCAAAGCACAAAACTGCAGCAGCAACGGTGGCGGGAAGAAAGGCAACTGCAAAGTCCTGAGGTGACACCAGCCCAATTAACAGCGACGGCTGGAGAGAACAATACAAGTCTCAAGTTCTTTACATAGGCTGCTGGTGCAGTCCCCAGCCTAAACAGAACCATGAGATCAGGGCAGATGAAGCTGTCGGTGGAGGTCGGGAAACTCCAAAGAGATGAGGGGAAAGGGAGAAAAGTCATCCTTAAACCCAGGACTGGCTGGCACCAGTCACCCAGAAGTTTGTGGTTCCTGCCTCTGGTGCTGAGGGATGTCCAAAGTCACCAGGGCAGCCTGTGTGTGATGGCTCATGCCTATATAATCTCAGCATCAGCATGCCGAGGCAAGAGGGCCATAGTTCAAGGCTAGCCTAGACTCAGTAAGTTCAAGGTCAGCCTGAGCTAGAGTAACACTGTCACTGCCCTCCCTAACCCAAGAGCAACCAAAACTAAAGCAGCCCCCTCCCCCACACAGCCCAGGAATACTATTAGCCTCGCAATCAGTCCAGAGTTGAACCAGTCTGGGGAGAACAAAGTCCCACTCCCAAACCACTAAGACCACCTCCTATAGACTGTGCCCCTGGCTCCCAGGTTCGGCATGAAAGAGAAAGTATGAGCAGGTCTCTGCTGAAGCCCACACTGTTCCTTGAACTCCAGGGAAACTTGATCCATCTGCAAAGGGGATTGGTGAAGCTGCTCCAGGGAGCCCAGAAAAGGCCAGGTCCAAGAAGAGTCCCTCCAACAGGGAATCAGAACAGCAGGAATTTCTCTGCTGGTGCCCCAGGAGGGCCAACTCGATTTACCAGGCATAGGCCACAGTCTAGTCATATGACCAGGGACAAGCCCCGCCCTGAACCTCAGCTTCTTTCCCTGAAAAGAGAAAGCCTAAGACCCAGGGTGGTGAGCTTCCTTGCCGAATAGCTAACATACTACCTGACCTAGAAGGAGCATCAAGGAGGCAGCTAGGTTCTGGGATCAGGAGCTCCTGAGGCAAAAGTCAGTCTCAAAGAGACAACAGAGCTTCAGGGGACACAGAATTAAGGCCCAAGCAGCAGGTTGGGCCTAGAAAGCTAGGAAGCATAGACAGGCTGCGAGGTCTCGTCTGTTAAGACTTGAGCCCTCAGGTCCCGGCGCCAGAAGGCTGAGGAGGAACACTCAGGTAAAGTCGCTGGGCTGTCTCCATGCAGGGTGGGCGGGGTGGGGGTGGGGTGAACAGGGGCCATCCATTCGGAAAACACGATGTTTGAGCTAGGGACCCAGTGCAGCCCCCGCAAACTCCCCCCCACCCGCTGGCCGGTCCCCGCGGGCTGTTGGCCGAGGCTTCAGAGAAGAGGCGTGGGGAAGAGGGAAGCCCCAGGTTCTGACCCTGAGCTAACACTTGGGGAACGGGGGGGGGCTCCCTTAGGTCACACTAGTTCTCCCTCACACATGCACACCAGCCTAGCCCACAGGCCCTGCGCCTCCTGCGAATTCCCAACACTCCGCCGTGGTCCCCAGCCTTACCTGACGCCCCCCGGATGCCGCTCACCCCCACATCTCTGAGTCCTGACCTCGCGTGACCCCCTGCAAACATCCCTGGGATCTCCAGGCCGCCCCCGCTCGAGCAGGCTCCGCCCACACCCACCGGTCCCACTTCCCGGGCTTTTCCCCGCGGCCCCCCAAGGCCTGTAACCTGACCCGCACACTCCCTCCCCTGTGCTCCCAACCTGCAGGCTCCGGCAGTCCCGTCCCCTCCAGGCCCTTTCCCTCAGGCGGCGCAGCCCTCCCCCCCCTCCCGCCCTGGCCAGCCTGCGGCCTCCCCTTCCCCTCCGGCCTCGCCCGCCGCCTCCTCACAATTACCCCCTCCGGCCCGGCGACTTCCAGGAGCCCTCGACCAGCGCCTCCCTGGGGCCGCCCTCAAGCCCCGCGGGCCAGGCCCGGGGCCGGACGCCGTAGGCCGCCAGCTGAGGCCCGGCCACCTCCACCTCGCCCTCCCGCCGCTGTCAGCATCGCGGACTGGGCTCCCCACTCCCGGCCCGGCGCCCCGGGGGCCTCCCGTCTCGGCCCTCGGCCGGAACCTCGGATGTCCTCGGGCCGCCCCGGCGGGAGGAGGAGGCCGGAATTGGGCCTGGGGCGGGCCGTCTCACCTGCGCTGTGGCCGCGCTCCGGGGCCTGCCGGCGGGCTCCGCAGCGGCAGCTGGGGCCGGGCCTGGGCCCGGGGCGCGCCCCCCTGCGCCTCGGCCTCGGCCTCCGCCTCTGCGGCCTCCGCGGCCTCCGCCTCAGCAGCAGTGGTAGCCGCGGCGGCCATTCATTGTGGGCCAGGCCGCCCCAGCCGAGCGCCGAGGAAGCGCACGGCGCAGCCGGCAGGGAGGAAACGGCCTCGGCCCCGCCCCTTAGGCAAGCTTAGCTGCGCTCCGAGCGCTTTAGTGCTCACCGGCTTCCTCCTCCAGCTCTCTGGTTTGCGGACCGTCTCGTTAGCTGCGTGACTAGGGCACCGGTTGCTCTTGTTTCCTGTAAAATGAAAACAGTAACGACCGTTGTCGTTCCAGACACAGTTTTAAGCGCTTTATGGAAGTGAGATTTCGTGGAACTGAGGAAACTCGCTCAAGATCACACAGAGGGAAGTGACTGAATGCTAAGATTTTAAACGTAGGCTCGAAAGGTCAGTAAAGCTGAGGCTTAGGGTGCTTAGGCGACGTCAAGTTGTTAGCATTTTGCACTAACTCGAACAATTATGCTTCATAACGTTAAAGCCCTTGCAGCCTCGAGTTCGGTTCCCACGCCAGGTAGCTCACAACTTTTGCCTTTAACTGCAGCTCTAGGGGATTCACCTCTTCTTTGTGCTTTGGGAAACTGCACACAGGCGCAAACGCCCGCACACATACACACAGAAGAATAAAATCTAAAGCAAAACAAGTACTGCCGCGCAGGTAGTTAACGTCTGTGATCTCAGCGTCTGGGAGACTGAGTTCGAAGCTGCCCTAGGCTGCATAGTGAGTTCCAGAACGAAGAGTACCTTCTACACCCCACCGAGGGAGAGAGGACTTGCAGGGCGGGCTGAGGCGACGCACACCACGGGTGGCCACATTCCCCTGCCTCACACATGAGGCCAAAACCCAGAGGCTTAGTGTCTAAGTGGTTCCTCTGCACACTTGCCAGGCATTCGGCTTCTTAATCTCTGCTCTTTCTCGGGAGCTAAGGTTCTTACTTACAGGTAAGGGGAAGAATGAGAGCCTTACATTTTAACTAACTCGCCCCGAGGACGTGGTGGGGCTGAGATTCAGAGCCAGCGAACCCTATTTCAGAGCCTGAGTTAACCTGCAAGGTGCACACAGGGACAGCTTAAGGTGCCAAGCTTCTCCATTCTTCTTTTTGGTCCTGAAATAAGCAGCACTGAAATCCCCTTGTAGAAGAATTACACTTTCGAGAACTACCCATGTGGCTTTCGCCGCGCGCGTCCTTTCTAGTTAAGAGTATTGATCCTGGTCGCTCACCGTGAGTCGTGCCGCTCATTGGTCAGTTGTTGTCATGTGACGGCCTGCCCCGCCCCCTCGCCAACATGGCGGCTTCCAGGTCCTAATGCAGGAAGCGTGCACCGCGACTTGTTGGGTCCTGTGAGCAGAGAGGCGAAGCGTGTCCGGGTCTGTGTGGGTGGCTGGCTGGCGGGGTGGATCTGCGGCCTCAGGCTCTGCCGGGCGCAGTGCCTTGGGAAGCGCAGGCCTTTTGGGGGCCACACGGGGTCTCAGCTGCCACTCTGTAGATGTGTAGTGCACCCCCGCCCCGGAATGCCGCAGTCTGACTCCCCGTGCCCTTCCCCTTCCCTCGGAAACGGCAGGAGGACTGAGGCGCCCGTGGATGTCCCACGCGAGGACGGTTCTGTGGCTGAGCCGCCCTCTCCGTGTGGTCCGCGTTGTCTGCAGGGCTCAGTTCATGGAACAGAAGGCCCAGGGGCCGCCCTCTCCGCCAGCGATGGAGAACGGCACACAGCCCTGCCAAGAGCGCCCACCGGCGGCGACGGTCACCGAGGGCGCCGCCAAGATCGTCTTCCCCAGCGCCAACGAGGTTTTCTACAACCCGGTGCAGGAGTTCAACCGGGACCTGACGTGAGCAGGGGTCAGGGGTCAGCTTGGCCAAGGGGAGTGGGTCAGTGAGGTAGAAGATACTCCGGGAAAATCAGTCTGGGACGCGTGCTGCTCGAAGGCCAATATTCGGGAGAGATGAGTTGTTAGGGAGGAGTCAGCTTTAATCGAAGGCCCGCATCTTGAAAGATGGGGGGGGTATTGTTAAGGACCGGTTTATACATGCTAGTGTTCTTGGGCGGTCAAGGCCCGTGTCTCCCCCTTTCCCTTTCCTTTACAACTCCGTGGTGGACTTGGACTTCCAAGAGCTGGTTCCTGTCGTTTTCACAAACTTTGTTACTTGTCTGCAAGTCAAGTTTCACCCCAGTTTCCATGCTTTGAATTAAGGACTGAGGGCCGACCGGTTACCATCAGCTTTTCTGGGTTGACCAATCTAAAGATACAACAGTTAACACCTTAGCCCTTGAGGTGGGGTTTCTCGTTATTTAGAATTTGATGCAACAGGGACTTTACGGACTAGGGAGGGACAACAACCTTTTAAGAATGTCAAAGGGAAGATTTCAGACCTGGCCACAGCCAAGGAGCTGGCATACGAGTTTGCAAGCTGACCCCCATCCCCTTCTCCAGATGTGCTGTGATCACTGAATTTGCTCGAATTCATCTTGGGGCCAAGGGAATCCAGCGTAAGTGGAGGTTCAGGCCTGGGGGTGGGGGAGGGGCACATAAAATTCACCCCCACTTTCCCCACGTCTTTTGAACCCCTGAAAGGCTCTAGGCTCCTTCTGCCTTTCTCCTGGGGTTTGGGGAAAGACTTTCTTGTGTGTGTTTTGACAATTTGAAAGTTGAGGTGAAATTTCTTAAAAGGAGCATTGATAGCCTCTGGTTTTTGCCTGGGTGACTGCAGTCAAGGTGCCCGGAGAGGAAGACTTGCAGAGAGTGTCTGAGAACTTGTCTGAGCAAGAGGAGGGAAAGGCTGAGCAGAAAGAGACTGAAAACCTGGCCCCAAGAGACCAGACGCGCACAGCTGCAGTTGGTGAGGTCTGCGAGGTAGGGATGAGTAAGAGCTGGCAGCTTGGGGTCTGGGTGACAGGAAGGAGCTGAGGAGATCCACGAGGGTCCAGAAGAAAGATGGAGACCTCAGCTTGATCCCCAGAATCCCTGGTGGAAGGAGAGAACTGACTCAGTAAAAAGAAGTCAGGTACACCTCTGCTCACTTCTAACAGGAAGGTCTACGGGTGCTGGAAGGCCTGGCGGCCTCCGGTCTGCGCTCCATCCGATTTGCCCTCGAGGTTCCCGGCCTCCAGTCTGTGGTTGCCAATGATGCTTCTGCCCGGGCTGTAGAACTTATGGACCGGAACGTGCAGCTCAATGGTGTGGCACATCTTGTACAGCCCAACCAGGCAGATGCCCGGTAGGTTGACTGGCCGTTGTTGCCATTGGTGGGGTGGTGCTGGAGATGGAATCCAGAGCTTCACCCATGCTAAGCAGTAGCTCTCAGGAGCTTCTAGTCAGGCCTGCCCAGAGCCTGCAAATTACACCTGGAACGAGGCTCCCAGGAGACAACCACAGCCCTGTTTAGCCTCCAAGTATGACCGTGGGTGGGTTAGACTCTTTGAACTTCCTTTCCTTGTTTCTAAAAGAACAGTGATTTACAGGGGTTAAACATTCTTTTTTTATTTGTCTGTGTTTGAGAGAGCACCAGTAGGTGCTGGAAATGCTTGTACTACCCAGCAATCTGGATAGTTGTCTTCTGAGCCTGTCATGTAGCAGAAATATATAGTCCAGAACTGGCTTTGTAACTGAAGATGACCTTGAACTTTTTATAATTTTTAAGAAGAGTACTTCATTTTATGTGTATGAGTATTTAGCCTATGCATGTGTGCCTGGTGCTCTCCAAGGTCAGAAGAGGGTGTGAGACACCCTGGAAAGGGAAAGCAGTCAGTGCTGGGAAGTGAACTCAGGCCCTCTGCAAGATCAACAGGTGCTCTTAACCAGTGGGCCAATTCTCTGGCCCTTTTCACATTTTTATACACTTATTTATTTACCTGTTTGTTTAGGGATGTGAGTGTGTGTGTACAATTTACAGAAGTTGTTTCTATCTTTCCATATGTGGGTCCAAGGATAAAACTCTGGTCCTAGGTGGTCCTGACTGGCCTGAAACTCTGTGGTCTGCCTCCCAAGTGTTGGGATTACTACCACCCCTGGCTCTGCCTATGAATTTCTGGTATTTGAGTCTTTACTTCAGTGCTAGGATTACAGGTGCACATTATCACACGTGGCTTATTTAGTGATAGGGATCAGATGGAGCCCGGTGAGCCCTCTGCCAACGGAATTGCACCCTAGCACGCAAAGCCCCCTTTGGTAAGGTGCCTACTCATGTAGCCCATGCTGGCCTCTAACTGTGGTTGTGACCTGCAGTTACAGACCTCCTGCCTCCACCTTTGTGCTAGGGTTACTGGCTGATTTGCAGGATTCTTTTTTTTTTTTTTTGAACTGGGGTTTCACTTTGTAGCCCCAATGGCTAAAAGTCATAGAGATCCAATTGCTTCTGCCTACCTTGTGCTGGGGTTAAAGGTGTGAGTTACCACACAGGCCCATAGCAGGGTTCTTTTTTTATTATTATTTTAATTTTAAATAGCTTGTTTTACATGTCAATCCCAGTTCCCATAGCAGGATTCTTAAAATAGAAGTGTGTTGCTCAAGGGTGTTCAGTGGTGAGAACTGTGTCTTTCCGAAGGACTTGGTCTGTTTTGACACATGGTCTGACCAGTTTGGGCTCGTGGTTTTCTACAGTCTTCCATGTAGCTGAGATTATAGGTGTATTCTACCAGGCTCCAGAACTCACTTCCTTTTCTAACATAACTTTGTAGTTATACTGCCAACCTCTCTTGCCTCAGGCTAACTCTCTGGAACCTGCTCCCACTCTATTGCCATACCTCCTTTGCCAAATGCCTGCCCGTTTTCTTGTTTTGAAACTTTAAATATTGTATGTGTAATGTGTAGCCGGGCGTTGGTGTCGCACGCCTTTAATCCCAGCACTCGGGAGGCAGAGGCAGGCGGATCTCTGTGAGTTCAAGGCCAGTCTGGTCTACAGAGCGAGTTTCAGGACAGCCTCCAAGACACTACAGGTGTAACCCTTGGAACAAGTTAAAGGCAGTTATAAGCCACCCATCCTGTATCCTGTGGACCAAACTTATACTCTCTGAAGAGCAGGAAGTGCTCTTCTGAGCCAGTACCCATCCCTCCCTCCCTCTGCGCCCCCTTGTTTTTAGACAGGGCCTTCCTATATAGCAGAGGAAATCATAGGCTCATGACAATCCCTTACCTCAGCTGCAGGGATTACAGCAGGCAGTGTGGTGTGATGCTTGCATAGTGTGTATTAGCCTTGGGTTCAGTTGGGGAACTGATAACTGTAGATTGCCCTAATAGTACAGGTGTGGATGGGCAGTGAGGATGTACATCTTTAGTATCTTTAGTCCCAACACTCCGGAGGCAGAGACAGGGATCTCTGAGTTCGAGGCCAGCCTGGCCTACAGAGTGAGTTCCAGGACAGCCTCCAAAGCCACAGAGAAACCCTGTCTCGAAAAACCAAAAAAAAAAAAAAAAAAGGCTGAGAACCTGGATCCCTCACATCTAGGATGCTGATGTACCAACACCAGAAGGTGTCTGAGCGTTTTGATGTCATTGACCTGGACCCCTATGGCAGCCCCGCCCCCTTCCTGGATGCAGCAGTGCAGGCTGTGAATGATGGAGGTGAGGCTATCCCATAGCATCTAGAAGGCCCAAACAGGGTTAGAGTCAGGGTGTTTGGAGGGTCATCACTGCCTCTCCCTTCCCCACAGGACTTCTGTGTGTCACCTGCACGGACATGGCGGTATTGGCAGGCAACAACGGAGAGACGTGCTACAGCAAGTATGGGGCCATGGCCCTCAAGAGCCGGGCCTGCCATGAAATGGTGAGAGTCCCCCCCCCCCCAGCCATCCTGGGGGCTGGGGACAAGCTGTGAGCATTCCTCCCCTGGTTCTCCCAGCGTACATACCTTCCTATACTGATGGCCTGCTCAGTGCCCTGGGATGGCCAGGACTGGTCTATCCCAAGCTGTGATGTCACTCGCGAGCAGATCCTTAACACCCTTTTTCAGCGGACAGCAGTGGGTAGGCAGTCTTTCTTTTCCTCCTAGCATTTTATAGTATAACCTTAAAAATATTTTTGTTAGGTATGGTAGTTTATGCCAGCACTTGAGAGGCATGTGGATCTCTTGTGAGACCAGCCTGGTCTAAATACAAAGTTCCAGGACAGCCAAGGCTACATAGTGAAACCTTGTCTCAAAAAGAAGTTAGATAGTCTATATTACATACAAACACACACACACTCACACACTTTTGTGTGTTGGGGTCTTGGGTGCCAAATCAGGATAGCAACCTTAAGTCCATTATTTCCTTCACCATTTGGGTCCTGTATCAGTCTTGGTGGCTTTACCCATTGAGCCACCTTGCCATCCCAATATAAGGATACAAGTATCCCAAGCAGGGATCCTCCTGCAGCTACCTCTCAGGTGCTGACTGAAACTTTTTCATGTTGAGCCTGGAAATAGGCCTTGTGCATACAAGGTGCTCTACCACTGAGCCACTGAGAGGTTTGAGACAGGCTCTGTGTATCTTGTGTAACCTAAACTGGCTTTGAACTTGCTGTGTAACTGAAGATAACCTTAAACTTCAGATCCTCCCATCTCTACCTCCCAAATGATAGGACAAAAAAAAACCTTAAAGGACAAGTTTTCAAGGTATGAGTTGTAAATCTGGCTTAGTTGGTGACTCTGACGTTACTTTTCTGGGTCTTAGTTTTGCATCTTCAGAACAGGTATCATGGCACCTCCCTGTGTCGTTACTATGGGAAGTAAATGGTTGGGGAGGCAGAGGTAACATCCTGTCCTTATTCTATGGGGCCCTTGCTGTCTCTTGTGAGCCTGTACAGTGCCACCACCTTCTTCATGTTAGAGGCTCCAAGCTGCCCCTGAATACACTTCCGTTGTCTATAGTGAAGGCATACTCTCAGCTCATGGGTAGGTTCAAATCACCTGTATAGGCTAAAGCCATATAGTGCCTGCTACCAGCCACAGAAACCATGGAGGAACTGAGCAAGAGAAAACATGTAAGCCAGGAAACATGGGCTTAAACTCAAGTTGATTTCCAGGCTTGTTCTTCCTAGTGCTAATGCGTGCCGCCCCCCCCCACAGGCCCTGAGGATTGTGCTGCATAGCCTGGACCTGCATGCCAACTGCTACCAGCGCTACGTGGTGCCACTGCTCAGCATCAGTGCCGACTTCTATGTGCGGGTTTTTGTGCGCATTTTCACAGGCCAGGCCAAGGTTAAGTCCTCAGCCAGGTAAGCCCATAGAGGGGACCTGATGAATCAAGGGAGGACTAAGTCTTGCCCTGGGGGACTTTGGTGATTGAAAGGCACTGCGTTGATCTGAGGGAAGAGTTGAAGTATAGTAACTGTAGCGAGCAGCTGGTGTGTTCGAAGCTACAGCGCTACCATACTTCACAACGATCCGAGGCTAAGGGCTAAGGATGAAAATAAAGACAGACAGCGGCTCATTCTTACAAAGAGAATGGCATTTATTATTACAAGGGTAGAACCTTATATACCAGAGTCAGGTGTGGTGGAAAAACACCAAGGCCTACGTTCCCAGGGCCTTCCTGCTAAGGGTAGGCCAAAATCAGGAATTAGCATTTAGACAATAAACAGGAACTTGCATGCAGGCCTTAATGGGAGGAGGGGATGAGAAGTGTTTTGCTAAAAGCCCCTAGTAACAAGCAGTCGACAGACCCCCATGGGGGAAGGGTGCAACAGTAACCACATCAGGAACTCATGGCCTTTCCTGGGCTTCTACAGCAAGCAGGCCCTGGTGTACCAGTGTGTGGGTTGTGGAGCCTTCTATCTGCAACGCCTTGGCAAAGCGTCGGGAGACCCTGGTGGCAGGTGAACAAGGGTGTTTTGGGTTGGAAGGATGTCCTAGGTCCCCACTCTTCCAGCAGGTTCTCCTTAAACTACCTCTCCTTGCAGGATCAAGTTCTCTGCGGCCTGTGGTCCTCCAGTGACTCCTGAGTGTGAACACTGTGGGCAGCGACACCAGGTGGGCCCAGGGCAGAGAAAGGCCAGAGCCCCAGCCCTCACGCATTTATCCCCTGCTCATCTGTATCCTGTGTGTCCACAGCTTGGAGGCCCCATGTGGGCAGACCCCATCCATGACCTAGACTTTGTGGGCCGAGTTCTTGATGCGGTGACCACTAATCCTGGCCGCTTCCACACCTCCAAGCGGATCCAAGGTGTCCTGAGTGTTGTTACTGAGGTATGAACTGGACGTACATAGGGGACGCCTACACGGAGAGGGGACTCCTCTGTGCCCACCTTCCTGCCAGCACTCCATGCTAGTCTACCCTTACCTCAGGAACTTCCCGACGTCCCTCTCTACTACACACTGGACCATCTGAGCAGCACCATCCGCTGCAACACGCCCAGCCTTCTGCAGCTCCGGTGAGGCCTTTGGGGGCAGCTTGCACCGTCAGAGTCTAGTGTGTGCCTAGGGCAGAGCTGAGAGCACGTGAGCCCAGCAGGTGCTTTGTTGTTGAGTTGTTATGGATGTGTGTTAGTACACCATGTGCATGCAGTGCCTAAGGAGGCCAGAAGAGGGCGTCAGGTTCCCCAGGACTGGAGTTACAGAGGCTTGTTTGCTGTGGTTGTGGATACTAGGTTCGAAACCCAGGGTCTTCTCCAAGAGCTGCAAGTGCTCTTAACCACTGGGACATCTCTCTAGCTTCCAATAAGTGGTTTTGATGTCACAGTCAATGACATGTTTTTCCTGTGAAAAAAAACAGACATGCCATGCCACGTGACCTGCTTTGGGGTCTAGCCTCCCCTCGTGGTCTGTTCACCCAGGTCAGCTCTCCTCCACGCTGGCTTCCGAGTCTCTCTCTCCCATGCCTGTAAGAATGCAGTGAAGACAGATGCTCCCCCGCTAGCCCTCTGGGACATCATGCGTTGCTGGGTGAGGGCAGTTGACCCTTGATTCGAGGCAGGAGGGCAATGAAGGGATGGTGACTTGGGTGCACCCCAGGTCTAGCATCTCCTCAACCTCTGTCCCCAGGAGAAGGAGTGTCCAGTGAAACGGGAGCGGCTGTCAGAAAGCAGCCCAGCATTCCGAATTCTGGCCGTGGAGCCCAGGTATGGACAGACGTGCCTAGGGAACAGGCTACCCCACAGGCGTAGCAGGCACATGTACACAGAGTCAGACACTGTTCCAGGGAAACCCTTCCGTCCTTGTCCTGTGCCCTTCCCATTCCACTTGTACTGTCCCGTGAGAGTCTGGGTCAGAGGACAGAGCATACAACCTTCCATGGCTGCTCTCCTCATAGCAGCCTGAACCCAGAACAGTCTTTCCCACCTGGGGCCCTTCCCTGTCACTTCAGAGAAGCCTTGTGGACTGGACCACACTGTCAAGCACTGCACCCTGACTTAAAGCTTTTACCAAAACAGTTTCTGAGTGGCATGTTCTGACACAGTATGACTTTATTATTTTTATTTCTTTGTGGTGCTAGGGATGGGACCTAGAACCTTATGCTTACTGGGCAAGTTCTCTTCCTGGGTCACACCCCTAGCCCTGGTTACTTCTGGTTTGTCTTGTTGACTGTCTGTCTCTGGTGCTGTAAAACCAGGTCCATGAGACAGATCCAGGCCACTTTGTCAGAAATTCACTAGGAAATGCAGGTGTTACTGACAGTGGAAGAACTCTGAGCCTGGTGGACCTGTGGTGCTGCCTCGGGTGGGCAGGTTCTGGGGCTGTCTGTTCACCCTGCATGGCTGCTGCCTCCAGCCTCCACCCATCTGTGCAGGCTGAAGGCCAACTTCAACATCCGGAAAGACGCCAACCCCAGCTCCCGCCAGCAAGGACTCAAGCGCTTCCAGGCCAATCCAGAAGCCAACTGGGGTCCCCGGCCCCGCGCCCGGCCAGGGTACTTGTTAATGTTGCAGAGGTGGGCTGGGTTGGGCAAAGGCCAAATGGGTACCAGCCGCTGTCTCTGCACAGGTGCAAGGCAGCAAGGAAGGACCCGGAGGAGAGGCGGAAGCTGCTGCAGAATAAACGGAAGGAGCCAGCTGAGGACCCAGCCCAGCGGGCAGCTCGCCTCAAGACCTTTCCTTGCAAACGGTTCAAGGAGGTGACTTCTTCCTCCCTCCCTGCCACCCAGCCAAGGGACAGGCTGATTGGCACAGCCAGGGCGAGGGGCTCACAGCCTGGTGCTTTCCCCCCGTTTTCCCCCTAGGGTACTTGTCAGCGAGGGGACCAGTGCTGTTATTCACACAGCCCTGCGGCCCCTGTGGCCTCTGTGGATACTCCCTGCACAGACTGTCCAGAGACCACCAGGATCTCCCCCGGACCAGAGGCTGCTGGAGGGGGCACTGCTGGGCCAGGTGTGGACTGAGACAATAAAGACTTATGGCTCTCTGCTGGTTGTCATTCTGTGTGGGGAGGTGGTCTGTCTGAGGGACCGCCTGTCCGGGGGTTGTCCCTGACTGACTGCAGCTGTCTGTCCTGACTTGGAAACTGAACTGGCAGTTGGGGAGAGCAGTTCGTCAGATGGCCACAGGGCGGCAGCTGCAAGCATGCTTGCCTGTCACCCAGCTGCCTCCCCTCTGACTGTCCAGACATTTCCCCCACCACCCAGCACTGCACAAGTCCCCCTGCAATCTCTTATTGCCTGGTTTCTTGGGCCCAGCTCTCCCCAGTTGGTGTGGTGGCGGAAACCAAGCCGGAAGCAGGCACTCTGTGCATCCGCTGTAGACCAGGTGCTTCCTGCCCTGCCTGCTCCTCAATAGGGGTTTGCTTGCTGAGAACACAGGCAGAGCAGGCAGCTGCCCAGACACCCAAAGAAGAGACTACCCTCTCCCCCCAGAGTAGAGGGTAATAATGCTGAAACAGCCCTGGGGGTATGTGCACCCTTCACTGCCAACTATAAAGCGAGGCCCACTGTAACAAGCTCCTTTGGAGGAAGTCAGTGGGGTAGTGACTTGAGCACTTTAATGAGGCTGGATGACCACTGAGTACCTCCCTAAGTGTGTCTACAATAACCAGATACATTACATGGGACGCAGGACCAGCCTGTTGTACCACCTAGAGCTCAGCATCTCTTGGAAGGCCTTTTTTTTAAACCCCAGAGGCGGGGTTTCTCTGTGTAGCTCTGACTGTCCTGGAACCAGGCTGGCCTCAAATTCAGAGATCCTCCTACCTCTGCCTCCCAAGTGCTGGGATTAAATCTGGGTATCGCCATGCCTGGACCTCTTGGGAGCTTTCAGCAGGCTTTCTAGGATTTTTAAAAATTTATGTACACGGCTTTTCCCTGCATGTGTATATGTGCACCATGTGCTTCTCTGGTACCCCCAGAGTTGAGAGGGTGTAGGATCCCCTAGAACTGGAGCTAGGATGGTGATTGGGATCCACGTGGATCCTGGTAACAGAACCTAAGACCTCTGCAAGAGCAACACATGCTCTTATACACAACCGTCTCCAGTTCCCAGGTCTCCAGAATTAAGAGTACCACTTCAGAATACCCGTCACCAAGGGACACCGCCCAGCTGTGTGGCATCTTGCTTCTGGGAAACTCACATGGTTCTGACATTCTCGAACCCACCCCCTTGGGCTTGAAAACACCTTGGAGGTGTCACAGGGCTCAGACACCTATACAGTGGTGTCAAGACACAGGCCGCATTGCAGGGATTGTCTCCTGGAGCCCTATCCCTGGGTGTGTGTATGGGGGCACCGGGGATGTGTAAAAAAGAGGAACCAGGCTGGGGCCCTTGGGTCATGGGGCCTCAGAGGACCGGAAAGGGGCCCCTTCCACCCCCATCAGCACAGACACTGGGCAGGGGTGGGGTTCAAAGACAGAGTAACCGCAGAGGACTCCAGAGGCAGCCTTGCTCCGTTTCCTCTTTGCGTGAGTTTGGTTCCAGGGTCTCCTGAGGGCTAGGGTCTTCCAGTGCCTAGGGGAGTAGTAAGCCCTGAGGGGTGACAGCCGTTCTGGCCGGGGTGGGCCAGGAGGTGCGCGCTCCGAGATCCCGGCCTGCTGGTTTCCTCCGGGGTCAGCACAGCTCCTTATCAGGCGTGGCCAGGCAGTCAGACCCTTATCTGCACAGGCCCAGCATCCTCTGGCCTCTGCGCCAGGGGGTAAGAGGGAGGAAGCCAGGCTGTCGGGGGCGGGGAAAAGGCGGGTCCATCCAGGAGCTGCTCACTTTCTCTCGGGGGTTACCCACCACGACACCGCCTCCTAGACTGTTCAGGCCCTGCGGGAGCCCGGGAGGTGGCGCAGCCCAGCTCTGAGGCCCAACGGGACCACCTGGGGCACGCTTGCCGGACTGGACAGTGGAAACCACCTCCTGACCTGGATTGACAGCCCTGACCATACAGCACTCCAGGCCGGAGAACTGCTACAAGGGTAAGAAAGAGGCATTCTGCGTTCATTAGTTCATTTATTCATTCATCAGCTGGGACACAGTGAAGAGCCAGGGGTGCTTCTCCAGCTGGGGAAGACAGGGCAGAGAGGTGGGGAGTCACACACTGGCAGGACACCCCAGACCCCGAAAACATGTTACATAGGGAGCAAAAATCTGGGTGCTGATGGGTTAGGGTTAGTGAGAGGAACTTTCAGCAAGGGTAGAGGCTCCTGGAACAACCATGGAGAGGTGGCATAGGGTGAATCCTGGAGTTTCAGGGGGTCTCAGGGTTAGTTGGGGGATCCCCGCTGTGCCCCAACTGCAGGCAGGAGAGATTCTGAAAGATGGGCAATTGTCTCAGAGGCGAGAGGCCTTTTCAAAGAACCCCGAGCAGGCACTCACAGGGTCAGTGCTGTCAGTGCTGTCACGGGGAGGAGGTCCCCGCTTCAGGGCTTTGGAGTTGCTAGGTCCACTCATCTGCCTTTGACTCTGAGCTCCAGTCCCTGCCTCTCCTCAAGGTGCTCTCATTGGAGAGCTCAGTTAGGTTCAACACGTGGGAGAAAGATGGCCTTCCCTGTAACTCTGCTCCCTTCCACAGGTTAGCGTTCCATCCTTGGGGGTCCATGTGCCCACCCCAGACCCAGGCAGAGGTGGGTTCCGCCATGACTGAGAAAGCAGAGATGCCGCCGTGCGCCTCCGACCCGGAGCCTGCTCCTGTCCCCAAGCCCGCCTCACCTGGGCCCCCTCCTGCAGAGGTGGATCACCGAAGCACGTGCACCCCCTGGCTGCCTCCAGGTGTGCCGGTGATAAACCTGGGCCACAGCAGGCCCACAGGGGCAGCCGTGCCTACCACAGAGCTGAGTGCCCTGCGGCCCTCCCTGCTGCAGCTAGCTGCCTTCGGAACGGCTCCGCCCACCCTGGCCCTGCATTACCACCCCCACCCCTTCCTCAACAGGTCAGTAGGGAGCCGGGGTTGTGGGCAGTGCCAAGGGTGGGTAGTCAGGATCTTTGCCTACAAGGTGTTCACGCCACACAACCCCTCACAGCGTCTACATTGGACCAGCAGGACCCTTAGGCATCTTCCCTAACAGCCGGCTGAAGCGAAGGCCAAACCACGGTGACCTGGGCTTTGCTGAGGGTGAGTGTGTGTGTGCTTGTGGGCGCTTGCACCCCATGTCTGACCGACCTGTACTCTGCACACCCCAACACACGACAACTCACAGAACTGACAGCCAATGAGCACCACGGTATTGAGCCTAGCTTGGTGGCTCAGCCCTGTAATCCAGACTGAGGCAGGAGAGTAAGTTCAGAGGCCAGCCTGGGCTACGGAATGAGTCCCAACATTATAGCTAGAGTCCTGGTCACAACAGGACATAGCAGCCACAAGATGACATTCCACAACCCAAAAACATAGTCATGAGAGAGACAACCTTGGACTGGGATCACACGGAGCTATGAGACCACAGACAACCTCAGAACCTCAGCCACACACACAACAGCCACAACCGCATGGCATGAGGCCACACAACCACAGCCATCAGATAGGCCGCCAGTCAGCCACAGGCCCACAGCAGGCAAGAAGAGAACCTCTGAAAACCCAGGAACACGCTCGCTCGGAATGAGGCCATAGGACAGACTTCTTAAGGGACCACATCGTTGTCATCAAGGAGTCTCAGCAACCTTGGGTTCAGCCCGAGTGGGCGCTGGTGACGTTCAGTGAGGACAGCAGTGGGTGCCCTTTGGTCTCTATGCTGACGCTGTTCCTCGGGTCTTCAGGGCACCAACCCCAGAAGGTGGCTCGTCGCGTGTTCACCAACAGCCGAGAGCGCTGGCGGCAGCAGCACGTTAACGGCGCCTTCGCCGAGCTCAGGAAGCTGCTGCCCACCCACCCGCCCGACAGGAAGCTGAGCAAGAACGAGGTGCTGCGCCTGGCCATGAAGTACATCGGCTTCCTGGTGCGGCTGCTGCGAGACCAGGCGGCTGTGCTGACCTCGGGCCCCAGCGCTCCCGGGCCCCGTAAGCCGCCCGCGCACCGGGGAATGGAGGGTGGCGCGCGCTGCGGGGCCCGACACAGGGTAGAGTCTGCGCGCTCGCAGCCCGTGCTTCCTGGGGACTGCGAGGGCGGCCCCAGTGGGTCGCTGCGACCCATCAAGATGGAGCAGACAGCTCTGAGTCCTGAGGTGCGGTGACCCAAGGCAGTGGCGCCTCGCCTGCTGCGCAGTGAACTCCCAGTAAAAGGGACAGAGGTAGCCCAGATCAGGAAACGCCCTGTGGCTCTGGAAAGGTGACCGGCGCCTCGGGGGCCCCTCCGACTTTACAAAAACTTTCCACAGGCTTCTTGAGGTGGCCTTACCAGTGTCCTCTTCCCTGGGCCGAGGCTAGAGCACCAACAAAGCAAAGTGACTATGGGATCTTTAGGGGTGCTTCGACGGGTAGGGAAGGGTCTGGAAGCCTTCTCGCCTGCGCCCCCTGCTGGAGGCGGGACGCCCCTGGACAGTGTGTGGGAAGACCCACCCCACTGAGCCCAACGGGTTGCACTTGATCCATGATCCTGTTAACCGCGTTAACGAAGACTCAGGCGCTCTTGCATTTGTTTTTCTTTATTTCTTTATTTCACATACACATTAGCCATTCAATGGAGAAGCCGGAGAGAGTCAGGCAAAGATGGTATAACAGAAGCGCAGTGACGGGGGCGGGGCGGGGCGGGGCGGGCGGAGAGGGGACAGACGGGCTGGCTGCCTACTTGCATTCCGCTAGGACACTGAAAACCCAGAAAACAAAACAGACAGTAAACTACCCTTGTTTCTTATGTATCTCAGTGCAGAGACGGGGGGGGCTGGAGGGCAGAGAAGGGAGACCAGGCTGGAAGAGGAGCAGAGGGAAGGGGACGCTAAGGGAAGCACACCAAATCCATTAGTACTATATATAGAGATACTCGTATATACTGCGTTTCTTAGCCTAAGAAGAAACTTGTTTGACGGGACGGGCGGCCTTTGCGGTCCGCGATGCTGGTGCTGGTGGGGCGCACGGATCTCCCAAGAGGGGCCAAGCGGGGGGCTGGCCCCGGCTGGCTTGCGGGGGGGTCGCCCCGAGGGTGGATGGGGTGGGGGGAGCAGAGGTGGGGCTGGGGTGCCCCTAGGGCTCTCGATTGGGGGACAAAAGTTCTTATAACTTTATTGCTCCTTTATTTTTCTCTCGTGGGGGGGTCCGTTCAGCACGGTCGGGGTGGGGAAGCGGTGGGTCGTCTGAGCCACCCGGCCCCTCTGGGACCCAGAGCGCGGCGTCCGCTCCGCCAGCACGGGGGTGAGAACAAGGCACTAGGTCGGCCGGCCAGCGCGGGGGGCGGGTGTGTAAGGCAGTCGACAGGGCTGGTTGCGGGGTGGGGTGGGGACGTGTGCCGGGCTGTGTGCGTGCGTGCGTGCGCGGGCCTGGGCAAATCGACCTGTCAGCGTGGCTGGACCTGTCCTGGAGCATCGGACCTCCCGGAGGGAGGGGAAGAGCGGTGTTAACGTGGGGTGGGGTTGGGGAGGAAACTACCAACTTGCTGAGCGCGCTCCTGATTAATGCTGGTGAGGGTCAAGTTGGCGTCTGGCTCAAAGAAGGGCGCTCGGAGTAGGGAGGAAGGGAAAGGGGACGTTTGTTCGTTGGCATTGACCTCTGCGGGGAGAGGGGGCCGGGGACCCCCGCCGCGCCCCAGTGCCCGGAGGGGGAGGGGCCGAGAAAAGGGGAGGGGGCGCCCAGGGAGACCCGCGGCCAGAGCAGCCCAGCTGCGGGGCGCACGCCGCTGTCCCGTTCCGTTAAACTCAACAAAGAAGGGATATGCGTGTTCCTAACAAGTGCAGAATATTTAATTGATTCATAAACGTATGTATAATAGTTTGTGGGTTTTTTAAAAACGTACTTTATAATGTAATAAGCACCAGGGTTTTTTATGTTTAATTATCTTAAAAATAATTTTCTCTCGTCCTTTTCCTTTTGATCTTGTGTTGGTTTTTTTTAATGTCGAGGCGTTTTTTAAAATATAAAATGTGAACGTTTTCTTCAGCCCTCCCACCGAAACCGAACGACAAAACAAATTAAAACCCCAGATTATCCTCGTCAACGCAGGAAAACGGCAAAAAACCAACCAACCAATCAACCAACCAACCAACCAAACAAACAAACAAAAAACCCAGAGAACTATCAAAATAGGAAAAGGAAAAAAAAAAAAAACACTCAGCTTTCATCCCCGCTAAGGGCAGGGCAGGCCCAGTTCTTTTAGCGTCCCCAGAGCCGCGAGGACATTACAACAAAAATAGAATTTTTTTCTTAATCTCTTAACATACAAAGATAGGAAAACTCTCTGATGCATTGCACTTGGTTCAATCAAAACAAAACAAAACAAAAAAAGGTTAATTTTCCCTATATTTTTTGTGGGTTGTTTCCTCTCCTAATACGTCCCCACATCAGTCGCCCTCATCGTCCCTCGCCTGTCCCTCACAACACCACTTGGGAAAGGAGCGCACCCCTACCCCATCCCGGTCCTCCCGGGGGCCCCCGGCCCAGCTGGCCTGCAGCTTCTGACCTCGCCCGGGGCGTGTGCCCCGCAAACTCACAGCGCCGGCAGCCCGACTGTCTTCGACCAACCGAAGAGGCGCACGCGGCCGGGCAGGGACCCTCTCGTTAGCTCTTAGCTCTGACCCTGTTTAGCCAACCGAACTGAAAAAATCATTGCACTTTGACCGCGCGTCACGCCCGGCCCGCCCGGCCCCCCACCCTGGGGCTCCCTCCCCTCGCACAGGGAGGCCCCCCGCGGGATCTCCACCCGGGCTCTGGACGCCACAGGGGAGGGCTTCACTCAACTTGCACACAGCGCCCCTGCCTACAGCCGGCTCTCAGCCCCGAGCTCCATGCAGGCGGCCCTTCGCCTGCTCAGGGCCGCAGCCTCACCAACTCGATTCTCAATAAATAAAGCCCACAGCCCACCCCCACGTGGTGCAATGTTGGACCGACTTTTCGGAGGATCCTGACCTGTGCTTTGTGTTTTCATACCGGAGAGGCGCAAGGCCTTGAGAATGGGCCTGGGAGGGGAGGTGCAGGAAAGGAGGGCTAAGGCACAGAAAGACAAGCCAGAGGGGCCCAGTCACCTGGAGGGCTGGTGTGCTCGCGTTCCCCCCCTCCCAGGGGCCTTCTCAAGACCCTCTGGACAAGCCTCCGCCACCCTTTGCAGGAGGAGGGGGCTGGGAGGAGAGCTGCTTCCTGTGGTGTGTTACGAAATTGTTCCCAAGTTGCTCAAACAGAGGAGGAGTTCCCAACTGCAACAGCGAAAGACCCAAACAATGACTGCCCCACCCCTAAATAAAGAGGAAAGACATTACAGCTAAAATCTAGGGAGAAGTGGCCATGGGTGTGGTGGGAAGGGAGGGGGACCAGAAAGCTCCGGGACACTCTTTTAAAAGAATGACACCCCCCACCCTCCACAGGAACTCAAGGTCTCGAGAGCTGGACGCCTACCTAGCACAGGTGGAGGCTGCCTGGTCCTCCTCGCTCGGCTCCAGGGCCCTTTCTGCTCCACTCTCAGCCGGCCCCGGAGGGCTGCGCGCGGCAGGGGCAGGGGCAGGGCAGAGGGGCGGAGCGAGGGCACCTGCATGCAGTGCTGGGGTGCGGGGCGACCTGGGGCCGGCTCCCTTCACTAGGGGCGTGGCAGAGGGCAGCCCTCGCGGCCTGCGGGGATGGTAGAGGGTGCCTGTGCCGGGCTGAGCGTCCAGTCCGGAGCATTCTGACTTGTTCCTGTGTGCTGTACAGAGGGGGTCCAGCCCGAGAACTGCCCGTGCGGTTCAGAGTGGGGTGGCAGAACACCCTCCATTCTGGCCTCAACGCTGAATTCAGCTAGCGCCAGGGAACATCCCCTGCCCACCCCGGGGCCATCCTCGCCTGGTCCAGAGCAGCTGGGGACAGAAGCCTGAGCAGAGGCTCCCAGGAAGGGCGAGAGGGAGAGGAGGGAGGGGCGAAGTCCGGAGGTGAGCTCGAGTGTCTACTCCCACCATTCTTACGAGCTGTTCCTCTGGGCTCCTAGGGAAGCTTAAGTCCAGCGGGAGGGTGGGGTCCCCAGGAACCGCAGGGGTGGCAGGCCAGCGAACTGGCTGCTCCTTCCCGGGAAGGAAGCTGGGAGGAAGGCAGTCTGTTGCATCCTTTCTGTTTGTCCTTTGCTTAGCAGAGTCCGCTTAGCATGCTTCTTTCTGCTTGGCTGCTGGTGTACAGCTCCGCTGAGACCCCTTCCGAGGGCTCCCAGAACTGGGCTGCTTTGGACCGCAGGGTACCCGGGCTGGAGGAGGGAAGGGCTGAGTGGCTGACGACGTCTAAGTTTTGCTTTTCGGTGGGGCTGGGCTGGGGGATATTTCCATGTCTCAAAATTTCTTCTCCCCCCTTTTGAGGAACCTCTTTTTTTTATTATTATTTTGTTGTTTCTTTGTTGATCTTAATCAGAGGAACCAGGACTGAAACGGGACCAGGAAAAAAAAAGGCGACAATGAGAACAGCTGGGGCAAGTCCCATCTCTCCCCCCGTCCCCCGCCCTATGCTCCCCAACCTCTACAGCGAGCTCAAGAGGAGGAGCCAGGGTGCTGGGCAGCTGACCCCATTCTCCCCACCCTCTGAGGGAATCCCCCCCAGACCCAGTCCCCAGTGCCCAAGTCCAGCTGGCCTTCCCGTGGGCACCGTGCCCAGCGGGTGGGACCCCCGTGGCTGGCACTGGCAAAGACCTGGGATCTGGCCATGTTTGCAATTGTTTAGGTTTTGTGTGGGACCTGGAAGGTGGGGAGGGTGCCAGGCTGGGGCTTTTGTACCCACAGGGGTTGGGGGAGTAGGGTGGGGGTGGCCCATTGAGTTCTTGCTGAGTTTTCTTTCTGTCTCTTTGGATTAAAAGCAGAAATTCACGTCTGTACATCCCAGCCAACGTCCTGTCCCTCAGGCTGAAAGGCTGGGGGCAGGGAACCACATGGCTTCGGTTCTTACGGAGCCAGGTCTGGGGGAGGGGGCCAGAGCCCACCCACCCAGCACAATCCTGGGCCTTCAGGGAACCAGACTGACTGGGGTAAAGAGCCTGAAGCTCCCTGCAGTGGGCATTGCTTCCCCCAGGGAGCCAGCAGGGGGCGCTGCTTTCCCGTGTATAGGGCCCTCCTGGCAGGGAACACTCAGTACACACAGGGTGGACCCCTGGGGCTGGCTGCTTGGCAACGCCCTCCATCAAAGGCTCCACTCTGATTTCCTGCCCAGGGGGGAATTCAGGACTCTTCTCCAGACCTGTTCGCTTGCTTGGGTATACCTGGCAGTACCTTCACAACAAAATGAGGACCCCTGATGTTGTAACCGGGGGCATCTTGGAGCTGTGTCACAGACCAGACTGTGTCCACAGGACCAGACAGTGCCAACAGCAGATCATACACACCAGATCATTCTATCCTTGTCCCAAGCCCACGCTGATGCCAGGTACACACAGGATGGGTGACCTTGGCTTGCTTGAGGTCATAACTCAGATGACTCAATGGGGGCTCTGATTTGGGGAGTGGTTAAGAGTTTGTGTTCCTCCTTATTGCTTTGCTGCAGTCATGAGGAGGCAGGGTGGCTGGGAATGCCTATGCTCTGCTTAGAGTCAGTCTGCTAGCTTAGGGTGAAGGCCCAGGCAGCTGGAGTGGCCAGCTTTTCAAAAGAAGTCAGAAATCCAGGCAGAATTTCATGTGAAATTTTCCAATATTTAAAATACTATTAGAGCCAGGAATGGTGGTGCATGCCTTTAATCCCAGTAGGTGGATCTCTGTCAGCTGGAGGCCAGCCTGGTCTACATAGTGAGTTCCAGCACAACTATGGTTACATTAAGACACCCTGTCTCACACGTACACACACACACACACACACACTCACACACACTCACACACTCAAACACACACACACACACACACACACACACACACACACACACACTGGCAGACTGGTGGCTTATGCTTATCATCTCAGCATTTAGGAGACCGAGGCAAGAAGTTTGCTGGGAATCTGAAGACACACTTAGGACTTCACAGTGAGTGCCAGGCCAGCCTAGGCTACAGAGCAAGATCCTGTCTCATGGGCTGGAGAGATGGCTCAGAGGTTAAGAGCACTGACTTCTCTTCTAGAGGGCCTGAGTTCAATTCCCAGCAACCACATGGTGGCTCACAACCTTCTATAATTCAATCTGGTGCCCTCTTCTGCCATGTAGGCAGAACACTGCATATGTAATAAATAAATAAATCTTTAAAAAAAGATCCTGTCTCATAACTCAGACACACAAAAAATACTATTGGATCCAGATGTGCTGAAACCTGCTAGCAATCCCAACACCCAGGAGGCTGATGGAAGGGCAACAAGGTTGAAGCCAGTCTATATTACAGAGAGATCCTGGCTCAAAAACAAAACAAAAATAGAAAACCCACCACTATTTGGCTGGGGGTGTAGTCTTTGCCTAGCATGCCTGAAGCTCTGGGCTCAAACTATTCAAAAGACAAAACCATTAATAGTCAGGTCAGGTCAAGCCAGACCCTGTCCCTCAGGCTCTGGTTTGGACTGCAATAAGTGCCCCCTGTGAAACAGCGATACTACACACAAGCATTAGAGACCGGAGATGCGGGCAGTGTCTGGCTTCTTTAGTCCCAGCATACAGCCCTGTGACCTGAATTTAACCCCTAAGCCTACATAATGGTGGAGGGAGAACAGACTGGATGCAGCCCATCCATGCATATTACACACATCCATGCATGTGCGCACACAAATAAAAGTAAGGCTTGAGCTTCAAATATCCTCTAGAATTTTCTGTGGCAATGGCGTCTCACTGATAGCATAGTTTACAAGCATGAACACTTGAAATGTGGACTTTGGAATAAGGTGTGGGGATTCAACCTAGGCCATTGAGAATGTTAGGTGAGAGTCTTCCATGGAATTCTCTCTCCAGCCCCAACTCTCCTCTAATTAATTTCAATGCACAATGCTGCATGTGACCTGTGGTCAGGACAACAGAATCTCAAAGGATGGACATCTGGGAATGTGGGTACTCAGCCTGCCAGGGATGTAGACTGCTTTTGGGGTGCCAGACAGGATGTGCACAGGAGGCTGCCTCCCTCTGTGGGTTCTCAAACAGCTGCCCAAAGCCCCACTAACTAAAAGTCCACTCACTAAAAGTCAGGTAAGGACCTGGGAAGCTGAGCTGGAAGCCCGGTGGAGACATCAGTCAGTGGAGCCCTGGGCTTCTAGCTCTGCTCTTCTCTGGGACCCAAGGGATGGTTAATGTGGGCTCCTACACCACTGCTCCAGGCCAGGGAAGCCACCCCTCCTCAGCTTCCCTAACAGACACAGGTGGACAGAGGACACCTGGAACATGGGGACCCCCATCCCAAGGCCCAAACTGGCCCCCTGCAGCTTCCTTTACTGTTTAGCTTTATCGTCTCCAGAGCGGGGGCTCCTCAGAGGATGAAGACTCTGCTTCAGGCCTGGAGTGGGGCCTCCTCACAGGCCACATCAGCAGGGTCTGTTGTCAAGCCCAGGAAGCACTCTGCTTACCCCCTTCCTGCTTCCCAAGCCAGGCCCAAAACTGATTAAAACCGAAGTAAAAAGCACTGTTTAGGGAATGATAAAATTGCTAAAATTCTCTTTTCTTTCCTCTTCTATTGTTCTGTCTCCATCTGGTGCTCCAAGGATCAGCTAAAGTCACCGGTTACTGTGGAAACCACTCCTGATTGTCCCCCTACAGCCGCCTGCCTGCCCCCAGGCCCAAGGGCTTCTGCTCTAGGGTGTCTAACTCCCCTTTCCCCAGGACCCCCAGACACACCTGCCTGGTCAAGGGCCCTGGATCAGGCTAGGACTCATTTCCCCTACTTCAACGTCAGGCGGAAGAAAGAGACAAATTGTTTCCCAAACTTGCCTCAAACTCTGACGTGGCCTCAAAACATCCAAGTAAAGTGAGAAGAGAGAGCTCGAAGAAGGCAAAACCCAGGGCGGGCGGGAGGGAGGGCGGACAGGGGGCTCTGAGCAGCGAGGAGCAGGCACTGCACGCAGAGCAGGAGCGGCAGGAGGGGGAGAGGGAGGAGCAACGAAGCCGGCTCCTGGTGCCAGCCCAGAGCCGGGAGGGGAGGCCGCCTGCTGTCCCTTCCTCTGGCACCCCCCTCCCACCTTCTGCCAGCAGGGCTTTCTTGGCCTCCCTGGCACAGAGCAGAGGGGGCTGGCTCCAGACCCTGCTCAGAGCCATTGTTTTTCTTCTCAACACCCCCAAGTTCAAGTTCATCTGGGTGTTACATCATGTCTGGTTGCTCCTGGAAACCAGACGGGTCAGACGTGACTCTGGGGAAAGGGGGTGGGAGGCTGGAGGGGGCTGAAGTTTCTTTCTCCTCCCCTCACCACTAGGGAGCTCTGAAGTTTGAAGTTTGACTAAGTTGTGTGTGTGTGTGTGTGTGTGTGTGTGTGTCAAAGGAAAAGAAAGAAAAGACCCTTAAACCACACACACACACACACACACACACACACACACACACACAACTTTCATCCACCAACTTTCTCTGGACTGGGGCCTCAGCAGAGGCGGGGCAGGAGGCAGCAGAGGTGGCCCAGAGGCTCTGAGCAGGGGTGGATTTCCCAGGGCTGAGGAAGCCAGCAAGGAAGTGTTTTTTATAACATGTACAAAAAGAAGATTATTTGTGTGCTTTTTCTGAAAACCCTGGCCCTTGACAGCTGCCCCTGACCTGTTCCTGAGTGGGCTCTCCCTGTGTCCCAAGGGCCCTGGGTTCTCACCCCTTCTAGATACGGGCACACGAGAGACACCCACGTGTGTTCATGTACACGTGCATTCTCACAGCAGTCTGGGGGCCTCATGCTGGAGGGCAAGTTTGGCTTGTCTCCTTTTGGGAAGTGGGGGTGGTGTCAGTGGGGACTGGGGGCTCCAGCAGCCTGACTTTCCTCTTAATGGGACCTAAGGGGACCCAGGGGAGGGGCCTCCAGGACAGCAGCCAGCCCTGCCCTTGATGCCAGTCTCTGGGCATACAGCCCACCAGACGAACTTTGTCCCTCCCCACCTTTGTCCAGCCCATCCAGTGCCAGGGAGACAGGGAAGACCAAGGCTTCCTTAGGCGGCCACAGTCGAAGGAGACCCACGGGTAGGGCTGCCTTCCTAGCCAGTGCGCAGACTTCCCTCTGTGCTCTGTAAGATGGCCCACAGGTCTCTAGCCTTGGGTAGCCTTTCTCAGGTCCAGGGCTGTCAGAGCTAATTATCCAATTAGCCGATTAGCCGGGAGCCTGAGGCTGCCTAGGGAGGCTGCTCAGCTGGGCAGAAGCCTGGGCATGCAACTCGCTAGGAACGGCCCTCCCCAGGACACACATCCTGAGATGCCCCCCCCCCCAGCCCATCCACCCTCTCCCTCTCCCTGCACCAGGGCGTCTCCTACCTGAGACTGCTGTGGGATGTTCAGAAAGTTGCCGTCCCGGGGTCCGATGCCGACAAACCGGCTGGCAGAGGAGGTGCCTGTCGTTGTGAATGCTGTGGGGAGCAGGGGGTGAGGAGAGAGGGAAAGACCAGGTCAGGCTCTGGGCCCACCTCGGCACTGCCCTTCTGGGCGGCTGAGAAAGGGAGAGACTGGGTTAGAGTGCTGCAGGGTAGCCTGGCAGCGGGAAGGACGAGTGAGGGGCTGCAGTTTGGGAGGCCAGGCTGCAAGCCCTTCCGCTCACTGACCAGGAGCGTACACACACCCTCCTGCCTCAGCCTGTCAAGGCTGAGGTGAGGAAGGGCCATCGAGGCTGCAGCTGATGTCCCTTGGGCCTAGATCTGTCCCCTACTGAGAGGATGGCTTGCCAGTGGAGACCTGGCTCCTCTACTTGGTGGGAGCTGGGTAGCCTGGACCAGCCTGTCAGGTATGGTCCTCTCATCCGGCTCACGGAGTCTCCAGCCCCACAGCTTCACTGGGGGCTATACCACTTACCACCTTGGGTAATCCCACTAGTCAGCAAGTGGCTTAGGAACTCACCAGAGTTCAGTGGAGGACTAAGCCAGCAGGGGTGGTCACAAAAGAACCATGGCCTGGCTGCTGGGGGGTGGGGTGCTACTCTCTGCCATCAATACAGCAGACCAGGTGACAGAGGAAGAGGCCACAGAGTCCCAAAGCTCAGCCACATGGGGGGCAGCTGTCCAGTGCCCTAGGGGACAAATGAACCCAACACCCTGAGCTCCTCTAGGGTATTCAGCGGAACCCGATAGTTGGGAAGCAGTCCCCAGAGTGTCACAGTTCACCTGGGAGACTCCCTCCTGCCCTACACCAGACACATCCAGGACATGCTCACCAGATTCTGTCCCCTCTCCAGAAGTGAGCTCCGGCCTGGCTCCCTCCCCCACCCTGCCCACTCCAGTGACTGTGATCATGTCTAATGGCATATGCAAATGAGGAGATGACATGGAGAGGGCAGGGAGGGGGAGAGAGGGAGAGACAGAGAGCTCAAACGGACAGGAGTGTTGACATGGGCCACCCTCCCACGCACTGCCACCCAGTTCCAGCTCAGATTCCTGCCCACCCTGTGCCAGCCCAAGACAGCGCCGCCTCTCCTGTCCTTCACGTCGGGTCTAGCTGGGACCTCTCCACTTAAGAGTTTTCTTCTCTTCCCTTTTTGGCAACATTTGTCATTGGATTAAAAGGGGGAAAAGGGAAGGAAGAGACAGAGGGGGCGGGATGGAGGGAAGAAGAAGAAAGATGAAATAAGCCGGGGCCCAGTGCCCTCCCTTCTCCTTGGAACTTACAACCTGGGAAAGGAAGTGAGGAGAGAGAAGGGAGGGGTGGGAGCATGGGGAGAGGGTAGGAAAGGAAAAAAAGAGGAACAAGAGAAACCGAGGGAGAAGGGTTGGAAAAGCAGCCTCCTGCGTCTTCAGAGGCCCAAGGGCCAGATGGAGGTGAGGGGACAAGGCAAAAATAGCATGGTGGTGGCATCACCTTGTGGTCACATTTAATTTTTCTGGTGCGTGTAAGGGAACAACGAAACAACAACAAAAAATTGAAAATCAAAACCAAAAAAAAAATCAAAAAAAAAACCAACAAAAAACAAAAACAAAAGCAGCAATCAGGCATGAAGATGGCATGGCTGTGCTTCCCGCCCCCCACCCGCGCCAGCGCCCCCCGGCCCAGCGCCCCACTGCACGGTCCCTCCCGCCCCCCAAGGGGGCCTGGGCCAGGGCCTGGCTGGGAGCAGTGGGCAGGGCTCATAGGGTGCTGGCTAGTGTAACTGAGACCCACGAGGCCATGGCCGGGGCTCAGCCCTGCTCATCCGGTGGGAGGCTCTGAGGCGCTCTGGGTGGGGGCTTTGTTGGGAGGGGCGCTCCTCTTTTTGCAGTGGAGACTGTGTAGATGGGCCAGGGATGCCGGGCGCTGTGGTTTCGGTTTCATCGTCCACTTACAAGGTGACGGAGGAGTCAAGGCGGCGCCGTCTGGGGCCGTGCTGGTGGTTTTGGAATCAGGCATAGGAAGGGGCACAGGTCTGGCCACTGGAGGCGGCGGCGGTAGCAAAAATGACCCCGGGACTTTGCCCTGGCCGCTACCGTTGGGCTGCGAACAACATAAATAGAGTGGCGCATGAAGGCACATCACACACAGACACACGCTCCCCTGCGCGGCCGGCCACTTGCTCCTGAGAGCAGACGCTCCCGATGGAAGACGCTGGCGTGGGAGGGAGGGTCCTTTGCTCTAGGCACACGATGGAGGAGAAGTAAGGCCTCCATTTGGTCTCCTGGGTGTGTCTGTCTCTCTTTTCCTCTCTCCTATGAAGTAGTGGGGGGAAGAAGGGGGATGTCCGACGGGTGGTTCATCATTTCTTTTATTTATTTGTTTGTTTATTTATTTTTGAGGCGGGGTCTTAATGTGTAGCTCTGGCTGGCTTCAAACTCACCATGTAGACCAGACTGGCTGGCCTCAAAAGCACAGAGATCCACCTGCCTCTGCCTCCCAGGGGCTGGGTTTAAAGGCGTGCGCCACCATACCCGGCTAATTCATCAGTTCTTAAGCAAGATGTTCTGGGTACAGAAGAGAGCCACCTAGCAATGCACACCACTGCACCTAGAACAGCAGTGCTCCTGGAAGACCTGTCCTCATGGCGGGGAAGAGAAGCCAGCTCACCCCCAAGGTCCCAAAGGCACACTCCCTCCACGGGCCTGGCTGGGGCTGGCTGCCTAGCCAAGACCCACAGGCCTGCCAATATCCACCCCATGGGCAGCCTGGCCCAGGAAGCCATCAGCACTGAGACGCTCACCCTCCATCCATTCTATCTCCAGCAGATCCCGTTCTCAGCCTGTGAACAGTGGGGCGCTGGCCTTTTCTATAAAAAAAATCAGCCAGCGAGGAAAGTATGCCACCAGTGGCTCCAACTTCTGTGCAGTTCTTCAAGAGAGATTCCCTGGATAACGTGCGCCCTCAGGAGCCAAGGACACGCCGCCACCAAGATCCATTCCTTCTCCTTTGTGCCTCAAACTTGCACTTCTCCGGCAGGCCTCATGCCCGAGCGTGCCTGGGTCAGCTTCAAGGAGTCAGAGAAAGTACACACCACAGGCTCCCCAGCCACTGGCAGGCGCAGTATCCCTGGCAGACCTGGAACACGCCTCCTGCTGCTTGGGATGAGGCCCTCAATGCCCACCTGCAGCTCAGGTGCAGGGTGGCCTGGCTCCAGCTCTTCTTTTCCTATGGAGCAAACTTCAGCCCTTCTGGCCACTCAGGCCCAAGTCCTAGGGAGGTCTTTTTCTCTCAGGCTGCCCCCAAACTGGCAATCCTCCTGCCTTGACATTCTGAGTGCTGGAATTATAAGCTCCACTACACCTGGCCAGTGCTCCTCCTTCTATTGGACGACAAAGCCCAGAAGCCCAGCCCATCTGATGTCTCCAGCCACCATTCCGTCCTCAACTCATCTCTCACTGACAAGGAGCCGCAGGGGTGGGGGCGTGGGGCGCCTCTCTGCTCTGACAGTGAGTGGCTCAGCTCGGTGCTCTGGGTGTCCAACCATAGCCAGACATTGTACCCACGCTGGGTCTGACCTTCCAGCTACTCACAAGGGAACAGCTCTGAGCTCAGAGCCATTCTGCTCCCCATCCTAGAAGGCACTGCAGCATCCAGAGACATTTTTGAGGTCTCCAAGATGCTACTGGCATTAAGTGGGTAGCTACAAATCCATACCTGACAGTCCACAGGATGAAAGCTCGTCTCCCCCACCCTCAGAGCTAACGGTATTGTCTCTGGGAAACTTTGGTGCCGAGGAAGCTTTATTCTACCCATTCAATACCTGACTCCAGTGAGGTTCTGTGCAGGGAAGTAGTTCATGCAAAGTTACCTACTACACTGGCCATGCCTGGAGGCAGAGCCCTACCTGTCTGACCCAAGAGCCTCGGGCAGGCTCATGGGCCCCCTTCCCCAAGTGCAAGTTAGTTTGGATATCTCGAAAATGGTCCACTGCTTTAGAAGATGCATTCTCCCCAAAGAGAACTCAAGGTCCCCACCCTGTCTTGGCATTTCCCATTCTGTGCCCCTTGGATGTTCGGAACTCAGTCTGAGGGTGAAGTCAGAGTGCACACTTGCTCACCAGAGTGTCCTGCCGGAGCTCCTCCCTGCACCCCTTGAGGCCTGCTCTACACACCCCTCACGGGGACCGGCTAGATTCTTTGAACCATATTAGTCTCTCGCTGACCTCCCCTTCCTAGACACCCTGGCCCTCCATCAGAGTCATGGAAGCTGCTGTCGCCCAGGCTCCAGCACGCCGGCAGACTCCGACAGCCCAAGTGGACTGCACTGTCCCTCTGTTGCATTCAGTCTCCTTCTATCTTTATGTGGGTTCCAGGGACCAAACGCAGGTCATCAGACTTGTGTGGCAAGTACTTTAATCTCGGTGATGACTGACCATGGGATCCTCCTGCCTCCTCCTACCAGATGCTGGGACTACAGGCAAGCAGTGCCACCTGCTCCCCTCCAGTCACACCTGACTCAGAGCTTCCTCTACTCAGCAGCCTTCATCCCTAGTGACCCTCCGGATCTGACACACTGGGCCCCTACCATTCCTGAACACCCCTAGGATGATAGTCGAGAAGTATCTGGCCAAACAACTGGTGGCTGCCCAGCATCCCTATATGTGACCCAGACTGGAGTCTTTTGTGGTAGGTACCTTTTAGAGAGAGACTCTTAGGACCAAAGAGCATTAGGACCAAAGAGAAAGTTTTCCAACTCTGCAGGGGTACCACTGAGAGCCAAGCAGTAGCCTCTCCCCTCATGTCTATGGCCTGTCTGGCTCCCATCCCATTTTTCCCTCAGACAGGAAATGGAGCAGTCTCACAGATCACAGCTTTGTGGCTTCTCTCTGAGCTCAGAACAGCTAGGACACAGCATGGAAGCCTCCTCCAGGGCCTGCCTCTTGCAAGAGTGTCTAAAAGGACAACCCCACCTGACGGGGCTAGTCACAACTTCCATCGGGCCTGGGGCATCTGAGATTTGGCTGGGATACAAGTTAAGGTATTAACATATCAAAGTCTGTGGCTCTACAGTACCTTAGGTGCCCAGGCAGGGACTGGAAGGAGTCCACAGCTGGCCCGGCACACCGCTTGCCTCTTAGACACGGTGGCATTCCTGCCTCCCTGAGTCGTCATTCCCACTGGGCCTGCAGCTTCACAGTGTCCATTTGGCTGACCCTTCTCTACCCCTGAATCACTGCTAGCCAGGGCCCTTCCTCCTGTCCTTTGTATCCCCTTAAGTGCTATCTCCCTGTGACCGCCAGAGGCATGCCCAGGCTGGGGAGGAAGGGTGAAACATCAGGGTGCCTGGAAGCCCTCTGTAATTTTCCCTGCGTGGCTACTTTCCTGAAAATCTGGTCTGTAACCTGGGTTTTGTGAGGTGCCGAGGAGGGTGCTCTGTTAGGCTCCAGGCCAGCGGCTCCTAAAGTGTGTCCTCTAGCCAGCAGTCCAGGAGCAAGACCTGGGAAGGCACTTGGGTTCTCAGGCTCCACCTTAGGCTTCACCCACTGCAGGCCGAAGCTTCTGGGTGACTCTGCGTACACTGAGTCTGAGGACTGCTGTTCTACGGCAGCAGGGGCAGGTGGTGGTAGGGTAGAACACAGCACAGCCTCTGACCCTCTTTTCCAGCATGATCACACCCGCAAGAGCTCCTGCAGCAGGCTTTTCTCTCAGTCCCAGGCCGCAGAGGGAGTCCTAAGAGGATTCCCTACTCCCCGTCATTAGCCACACTCAGCAAGGTGTCTGCTTACATCAGTGTCTGCAGTCTCACGGAATAAGTACTTGTCTCGAGAAAATCACTCTAGGAAAGTCCATGTTACACATGTCAGGTCACAGATGAGGCTCAGAACCCAGCCCCCAGGAGGCAGGGGCCAACGGACTCTTTCCTCGGGGCCCTGTAGGGAGAGATGGCTCTTTGCATTGGTCCCTAGGTCCTGTTCATCTGTACTCCAAGCCTGGCTGCCTCTGAGGTGAAAAGGTAAGTGAGCATCTCTCTGGCGTCTGCTCTATCTCTGAAGTGGTAATAAGGAGTCGGTTCTACCTAAGACAGACAGTGTTTGTACAGAGAGGCAGGAAGGTCACCAAGTGCTAAGGAGCTAGAGAATCAACCGGCAAGAGAAACCTCGTAGGACAAAGTGGGGAAGACGATGGGGACAGCAGAAGGTGGGGGTGGGGACAGCAGAAGGTGGGGGTGGGTGAGCAAGCCAGGGGAAATAGGACCAGACCCAGGGTGGACAGAGAGCCCAGCCCAGTCACATCCCAGAACCAGCAATCACCAGTCTTCCCCAAGCACTTCAAGGCAGTGTGGCTGCTCCCCTTGGACCGTCTCTGGCGTGGACTTCCAGAGCACCTCTCCCAGCCTGCTTTCTAAGCCCTTGGACATCCTCTTCATGACTTCTCAAAGCCAGGCTAGCTGTACTGGCCCAGGCATGGGGGAGTCTTCATGGTGCTGGGCTACAAAACTCTCCATATCCCATCTCAAGTGACCCCTAGAGCCGGAGCATGTCCTGCCAGCATCTCTGGCATGTTATCTTCCTGGATAATCCCTTTGCAGAGCACTCAGAGATTGGATCAGGCCTCGGGGCTGGCGGGTGGGAAAGAACCCGCAAGGAGCCCCTGGGTTCTGCAGGGGCTGTGGATCTGAAAGGCTTTGTTCTAGAACCATAACAGTGTGGAAACCCTTTGTTAAGAGTCCTGGTGTGGGAATCTTCACACAGGCATCAATCACGTGGGGCCCCCTGAAAGCTGGAGATAGATTTGACACCCATGACTGAGAAGGAGAAGGTATCTGTTAGGTGGGCCGGGGATGCCTCCCGCCGAGTCCAGGACAGCTTCATACTACCAAGAATCAACAAAATCAACAGCCCAACAATAACAAGCCAGACAAACTCAGGTCCACAGTCTGTCAAATCCTTGACCCCCTAGATTTTAGAAAGGTGGAGGTCCAAGGCCTCACTGCACAAATCATATGCTCATTCCTGCTGGGAGCGAAGAGTCAACAGGAAGGGCGAGCAGCCCCTGACGGGAAGGTTGGCAGCTGCCCTACCTCTCCAGTCCCTGACAGGCAGACCCTAGGACAATATGCAGACCCTGTCCCCAAGCCCACAAGACAGAGTCTATGGGCTCTGCTACTCCAACTCCATGTATGCTCCTGAATTTTGGCCCTCTCCTCGTGAGCCCTTAGACAGACAGACAGACAGACAGACAGACAGACAGACAGACAGACGGACGGACGGACGGACGACGACAGACGGACGAGGCTATGAGGCCTCTGTGCTCTCTGGACTCACCTGTCCAGTGGCCTGACCCGAGCCGTCAGAGCACACAAACTGCACAAACTCCTTCAGGGAGTCCTGCCCGTGGTGGTGGTGGTAGCGGATGGTCGGGTGTGTAAAGTACGGGCTGGACTGCTGAATGATGGACGTGGAGGGGAAGTGCAGGGCGGATGCTGTGGCCCGGGGGCTCCCTGTGTGCACAGAAGCAGGACAGAGAAGAGGCTGTGAGGGTAGCCACCTGGGAAAGGAAGGCTTAGGATCCCAAGAATGGGGTGGAAACACTGTGTCAGGCACAAAGACCCTCAGTCATCTAAACAAAAAACAACAAAAACATTTAAATGCAAAAAAACAAAACAAAACTGGCAGACCTGAGGGCCAGCTGCTTGCTTCTATAAATAATATTTGACTGGAGATGCGGGGAGGGGGTAGTTGAGGCAGGTGGACAGTTACAAGTGCAGAGTTGGGTGTTATCTTTTTAAAATTGCTAGCAAGTTGTTTTTCTGGTTTGCTTGTTTGTTGAGATGGGGTTTCTTGTCTCCCAGGCTGACCTTGAACTCCTGATCCTCTTGTCTCTTTCCTAATTCGAAGACTGCAGGATGTCTGGCTGCTTTTTATTGTTGTTTTGGTTAGTGGATTCTCTCCGTACTGAGGACTGAACTTAGGGATCTGCGTTAGTCAATCTTCCTGCCGAATTTGCTTGACATAAACTTTTGCTCTCATTTATTCTTTGAGACAGAGTCACACAGACTCAAATTCTCCATCCCTCTGCCCCAGCCTCCTGTATGCTGGGATTGGCCTCATCCTATGTTTTGCAACTGTTTTCATTCTTTTTAGAAATAATACATTAATATAAAACTTATCTTGAGGATTGAGTTTTTGACATTTTCCTTCTTGTACCCCTGGCAAACGCTTCCCTTGCCCTGCCCTAGATGTGAAGGATGCATGGCTCCAGGGACCCTGCAGGGACAGCCCTGCCTGTGCAGGATGGGCGCCTAGCACACACAGCCCCCGCCAGTGTGAGTGGGACCCACAGGCCTCCTGCCTGTGCTGGCCCCAACGCTGGGCGCTCACAGCTCCTACCCCTGCTCAGGCCTCTCCCCGTGGTCTCCCCTTCCCGTCTGTTTCCAATCAGCTCACTCTTGCTCTCTGTTTCATTAGGGGGCCGAGGAAACTTGGCTTCTCGCTAGAGTTCATAAAAATGGAGTACAGCAGAGTGGAGCCTGCCTCCCTCCCGCTGCCGGCACAAGGCCTGGGCTCCCTGCCCCCACCCTGTGGCCACCACACCCTGCCCCAGTGCTGGCTGCCTCTGGGCTCTAAGCCAGGAGGCCCCAAGGAGGAAGCTGGGAGGTAAACCTCCCTGTTGTGCCCTACAGAAGAGAAGAGAGGAATGGCAGACACGGGCCCCGTGTGCAAACAAAAGCCTTTACTGCCGGATGGGTGCTGAGGGGGGATCAGCAAGTGGGGGCCAGGTCCCGTGTGTTCCCGTCCGGCCCCACCCGCGGGAAGCTCCCGCATCTTCCCGGGGCCTGAAGAGATGTACCCTCAAAGAAGCAGGACAGTCCTCCCCTGCAGCAAGCCCCTTCTTCTTTCAGCCCACCCCATTACTTCTGGGAAAGGCAGGAAGGCCTGACTAGGTGACAGTCTACCCTAGGACAGACACCAGGGACCTGGACTGCTGAGCATTCCCCAGGGGAGCGATTCGGTTCAGTACCTGCTGGTGGGGGAGGTGGAGGCTGCATGCAGTTCCCAGTGAGCATGTGCAAAACATGCACCCAGCCCAGACCAGGGTTAGCATGTGCGAGGGAATCTAGGAACCGAGTGGGCAAGCCTGGTTCCCAGGGGTACACTGCCCGTCCCAAGCCACCCCACTGCTGTGCCACAATCCCACTCAGGGAGCCCAGATCTGTCGCTTGGAGTGAGCCCTGGCCCCTGCTGTACCTGGCCAGCTGCCCCGTGCCGCGGCTGCCTCCCGCAGTGTCCCTTTAGGCCCGCCTCCATCTCTCACCTGGTCTGACTCCAGCAAGCACAGGCAGCGGGTGGTGGGTGAAAGCCATGCGTGGGGAGCTGCCCTGAGAGGAGAGGGCGCTGCAGAAGTCCAGTTTTCCTGACTTCTTTAGAGAAGCAGGGCCTGGGGGGAGGAAGCAGCGACACGCAGGTTTAGCTGGCTGGGGCGGGAAGCCAGCAAAGCAGCCAGCTCCTTCTCGAAGCTCCTTCTCTCCCCAGCGCCCAGCAGCCCTTCCTCCACCTCTGGCCTTGCTCTGCTCCTTCTGTGGCCTGACCTCAGGGGTGCAATCTGGCTATGGCTGCTTCTGAAAGAGTAAAGCGAGGCCCCTGGTAACACGGAGACCGTATGCTGGGCAAGGGTGGCAAGGACGGCACCCTGCTCCCTGACCATGGAGAAAGGGATAGAAGGGGATGCAGGGCTTGCGTCTAGGAAGGGATGCGTGAGGAGCCCACAGCAGCCAGGAGTGGGAGGCAATGAAAGGGACACAGGTGGGAGGCACAGGCTGGGACCTGGACATGATGACCTATGACACTCTAGTCTGAGGAAGTCAGCTCTGCCTTTCTGGAGAGAAGGAAAAGAGAAAGCATAGTTAGAGATCCTCCAGAGGGCACAGCATCCAACAAGAAAACAAAGATAGGAGCCAGAGAGTTGGGAGGACCCCGAGGATGAGCCAGGGGGCAAGGACTGCCCAGGCCACAGGGCTCAGAGAGAGGGGTTCTTCTCTGCCCTGGTGCCCAAAGGCAAGAGTGGCATCCAGCCAGACATAGGGGCACAAAAAGAACCCTGTTTGGGCTTTGCCTCTAAGAGTCCGAGATTGCAAGCCAACGTCATCCCTGTCCAGTATGCACAACATCCAAGTAACAGGCTGGCAAGCGGGGTTCCCAGGGGCACATTCTTTTGGTGTCTCTTATCTTGGGCTAAATAGGCAAGGTGGAGATGAGGCAGACGTTGAGCTGCCATCTTTGGGGGATAAACATTGTTGGTTTTGATGGGAATGGAGAGCTTCAGTACAGAAAACCAGAGTTCCAACCACAGAGAGAAGTGGCGGGGGGGAGCCTCTTCCAGCGACCAGCGGAGGTGTTATCTGATGGCAGCTGTGTGCCACCTGATAGCTGGCATGGTGAGGAGGGGGGAGTGCCTCACCAGCTGTGCACAGCTGTCCCTGCTGCTGCACAGTGCCTACCCAGCTGTTCCTATCCTGCAGCTGGGCTGCTTAATTGGCGATTTGTCGCAGCCCAGGGAAACAACGACGAGTTGGGGGGTAAGGGATCCTGGGGGTGCAGTGCATGGCAGAGCTGCCAGAAGCAACAGAAATGGCAGGCAATAGAGCAGACAGGGAGGGAAGACTGCAGAAGCCTGGCGAGCGGGCTCTTGGGAACACGGACAGTCACTGGCCATCAGCAGGTCATCAAGGTACCCTTAGCAGCAGTCTTTGTAGATGTCACCTGCCCAAGGCCAGGCCTAGCTGGGATCCAGGACATAGTGATATCCAGCTTTCCAACTCCCTCCCTATCCATCTCCAGAAATTCCCCTAAGGGTGTGTGTAGGTCACACTGGTCCAGGCCCTGTCTGCCACAGGGAAACCCTGAGCAGCACCTCCAAGTTATGCTGTGGTGCCTTTCCACAAAGCACGGTCTCCCTCTGGTGCTCTAAAGAGTGCCAAGTCCATTCCTTCAGCCCAAAGTCCAGGAGGTAAGCTTTGCACAGGAACCAGAGTCAAAGCCGGGTCTGTACTGGTTCCCTCTGCTGGGTCTCCACCAGACAAGTTGCCATCAGACCAGACTAGGGCTTAAACAATGAAGCCCAGTCCCTGGCACCATCTAGAGTGTCCCCTGCTCAATCTAGGGCAGGCAAGTTCTAAGCACACTGTGTAAAAGCAGGTCTGCCTTTGTGAGTTCTAAGGCTTCGAGGACACCCGTAGCTTCTGACGTGAAGTCTTCCCTCTGGGCTGCTTTCTAGGCTGCCCACACCATCAGCCTGCACTGGAGCAGCCTGTGGTTGGCTCAACGGGAAGCCATCTCAGCGAGGACTGGGGAGGTCTGGGCTGCTTCCTCAGGGCTCTTCAGACTCTGCTTGCTGCTAGATTCCCAAGACAGTTTTACCCTCCCACCCTGAGTTCTGAGCCTCTTTGTAAAGCTGGGCTCTAAGGCCAGGGTTAGCCACCTCAAATCTGTCTTCCTGAGAGCATCTGGCAACGTCTGGGGACATTTATAGTCATCTAAATAGGGTGGTGATGCAGCCTGCAATCCTAACACTCAGGAGGTGGGATAAAGGCGGCTGGAGTTTGAAGCCAGCCTGGCTATTACACAGCTAGGTCCTGTCTCAAAACAAAACAAATGACTTCAGAAGGGGTAGATGCTTGCTACTGGCATCTAGTGGTGGAGCCAGGAATGCTGCTGAACACTTCCAATACCAGGGCAGGCCCTGCCGCAGAAAGGCAAGAGGCCTCAAACACAACCCTGGGCCCCAGATGGAAAAGTGGTTTAATCCAGGAACCACAAGGGTGGGCAGGTCTCTGGAGGCAAGCGGCCTATGGAGAAGAGGTCATACCTTTAATAAACGGCACTGCAGGCTTGGGAGCCATGTGCTCTACCCACCACACCCACAAACTAGCTACCAACTTGGAAGGCTCAGCTGGCTCTTCACCTCACCCCCTCCTTTAGCATCATCTGCCCCCTTAGGACCAAGAGTCTGTAAGAGCCACCTGAGAAAAAAAGAGACCACAGGGACACACAGGCTGCAACGTTGTGACGGCCACCGCCATACCTGCATCCACGTCATTGGGCCATCCACTCGACTGGCTGCTGCCAGCTGCTGGGGAGCGGCCTGTCCCAGGATAGAACACGTCATCAACTGGGCTCTCCATCTCGCTGTCATCGATGGACTTGGGGCGCTTGGTGGTGCTGAGGAAGAAGGAAGGCAAGTGGGCCAAAGGTCCCAGCAGCCACCAGGTACTGAGACCCAGGTATTGCACGCCGGTGAGCGCCAGCCCACAGAAGCATTCCAGTTCCTAGAGTAGGGCATCTCCAGACCTGCTCTCCCTCAGGTTACTAGATCACTGAGTGCCCATCAAAGAACAGGCAAAACCTTTCTCTGCCTTCTATGACCCAGCCAATATTTCCTATCAGCTCAGTTGTGTTATGAAACTTAGTCACTAAAAAGTATTGTCTGTAACCTTAGTACCCAGAAGGCTGCAGTGGATTCCAGGCCAGCTAGTTGAATTTGTCTCAAAAAACTAAAGATAAATAAATAATAAAAATATTCTAATGCAAGATTAAAAACAAACACCAAAAGCTTGAGAGATGGCTCAGTGGCTAAGAGCATGCACTGCTCTTACAGAGAACCTGAGTTTGATTCCCAGCACTCATGTCAGGGAATGGTCACCTTAGCTCCAAAGCCTCTGGCCACACACCCACACCAGGCACGATAGTGTACGTCTCTAGTTCCAGCACTCAAGAGGCACAGGCAAGCAGGCCAGCCTGGTCTACAGAGTGAGTTCCAAGACAGCCAGGGCTACACAGAGAGACCCTGTCTTGAAGACAAACAAACAAACAGCTTAAATTCAAAAGGAAAAGCTACATGGCTAACAAAAATGTTCCAGTTAAAAAGCAGAGACTCAGCCAGGCGGTGGTGGCTCACGCCTTTGATCCCAGCACTCGGGTGGCAGAGGCAGGCGGATCTCTGTGAATTTGAGGCCAGCCTGGTCTATGCAGTGAGTTCCAAAAAGCTAGGACAATACAGAGAAACCCTGTCTAGGAAAAAAAAAAAAAAGCAAAGATTCAACCTTCCCAGAAGAACTCTGGTTCAGACCCTGGGATTTCTCTCCCAGGCATTTCTCTCCTTCTGCAAACTGCCTTCCCTCCCTCCCTGTCCAGGCCTTCCTTTGTCCCATCCTGATGCAGTGGCCTCGATGCTGTCAGCCCTGCAACACATGCTGTGGCTGGAGGGAGCTTTCTGGAATGCAGCATGCCCTCCAGTGGTCCCCAATCCCCTGAAAGAGTCCAACAGTCTTCTAGTCCTGACAACTTGTTCAAGTCTGGCCGAGAGGGAGGTTGCCTGGAGTCTCCAGGTGGACTCCTCCTGCCAGCTTTGTCTGGGCTCAAATGTCAACTCCACCAGATAACAGGCCTCACTTCCAGGCACAGCCAGGCCTTGCTCTGGGTTGTGTCACACGATTGATGACGGCAGAAAGCTCAGTGGAAGGCCGGGCACGGTGACCCCTGGAATACCCTAGCGCTGAAGCCACGGCGAGGTGGTCAGGAAGGTGAGGACACCACTGTCCTCGCTTACCTGGTGGAAGGAGGGGAGGTGATGGACCGCCGTCCCAGGGTCACTTGGTTTATGTTGTAGTAACTGGGGCTTTCCAGGTCTGCCAGCGAGAAGTTGGGCCCTGATGCAGTTGCAACAGGAGCTGGGAAGACAGAGAGGTTGGTGAGGTTGGGATATGCTGTTGTAGACCCACGGGCCAGCTATGCTGCCATGAACCACTTCCCAGAAGCCCAGGAAGAGTTCGCTGTGCTGTCTAAGCTGCTGGGAAGAGACCCCTTTCCTGGGTGGGTGGTAAGGGAAGAGGTATTGGCTGTGAGTTCCCCGCCCCACAGCAGGACACAACTCACTCTGTGATACTCTCACCAGCTCTGTCACATTCCAGACCCCGGAAGTCACAAAGCAGTCCTGGAAACTTAAGTGTCCTAAAGAAAGAAAATGGCTGGTGAGTGGAGCCAGATCAGGGTGGGGTGCCTATCCGTTCCTCCAAAGTTCTTCCCACAGAAAAGGGGCATACGCCAGGGGAATCCTCCCTCCTTGGACGACAGCCCAAGCCACTGGACAGCTGAGCGAAGGGGAAGGAGGATTGGGTGGAGCACTGACCATTGGGCAGTGGTTTGATGTCCGCATCTCCTTGCTGGTTTGAACTATCTGATTGTCCGGATTCTGCAGGAGAAACAAAAGGGAGAAAGAGTCATAAAACCATTAGCCAAGCACCCACCCTTCAGCCTTGGGCACCCATCCCAGGCAATAGACCCCCTCGCCCAGACTCCAGGGCTAGCCCAGAAAAACAGGGGAGAGGGAAGACGGTACGTACGTTACTCCCAACATTTAGACTGGATTGGTCACTAAGGCAGGGGGTGGGGCTTCCTGGGCAGGGTGTGTGGTGGCATGTCTGGTCTCTACCCACTAGATGCCAATAGCACCTTAGTTGTGACAACCCTAACCCTCCAGAGACTGTTCAGTGAGCCCTGAGGGACGGAGTTGCCATGGCTAGGTAGCCCTGATCAAGAGTCAGAAATCAGGGAGACACCAAGGGAAGAAGTCAGTGACAGACATTGCCTGTAACAAGGCAGACCCCCAGGGCCCTCCCTCTCCCAGAGGGGTCCTCTCCTCCCTAAGTCCATTAATTAATGCTGCTCCTGTGGGCTCCTGCCCCCTCCACCTCACCTTTATGCTTACAAGCAATGCCTGGCAACCCGGAGGGGGAGGTGTGCCCTGCTGCCACCCATTCTGTGCCAGCCTGTCTGGGTTGTCTCATGCCCCATTGCCACAGCTGCTCAGAGGGAGCCCTGAGACAAGGGCCTATTGTGTGGTGGAAGCTCACAGAGGGCTGGGGGGGCAGGGAGGAGTGTGTGTGCGCGAATATTTTGCAGAGCTTGAGAAAGCCCCCACTCTCGTCCTGCAGAGCTTGAGAAAGCCCCCCACTCTCGTCCTGCAGAGCTTGAGAAAGCCCCCCACTCTCGTCCTGCAGAGCTTGAGAAAGCCCCCCACTCTCGTCCTGCAGAGCTTGAGAAAGCCCCCCACTCTCGTCCCCCAGGTCCCCCAAAGCTTTGTGTGTGCCAGGGGCAGGGCGGGGACCTTCAGGACGCCGGCCTGGGCACGACGGCCGGGGAGAGGGTGGGGGCTGGGGCAGGTTGTAGGGCACTTGGTGAAGACTCAGCTATTCATGAGGACCACAGAGGTGGCATCTGACACAGTGCCCTAGTGCTGCCCAAGCCTTTGTTGGGCTCCTCATGGTGGCCCAACCACCCCAAATTCACCCACAGCTCCATGTGTGTCCTGCTGTCTCCCAGGAGGATTTTATGGGCCCTGCTCTCAGAGTCAAGGCCCTGTACATCTGTGGCTGGGAGCACTGGCCAGGCTCCCGGGCCATTTCATGGTACGATGATGGGTAGAAGGCTGCCACATTTGGGGCCTGCTATCCTTCTCTCTCTCTCTCTCTCTCTCTCTCTCTCTCTCTCTCTCTCTCTCTCTCTCTCTCTCTCTCTCTCTCTGTCTCTCTGTCTCTGTCTCTGTCTCTGTCTGTCTCTGTCTCTCTCTGAAGTACTAGTACTAGGAACTGAACTTAGGGCTCCTTCAACTTTTTTTTTTTAATTCCAAAAAGTAAATCTTGCTATGAATTAAGAGAGCAGAGGTCATGAAGAAAGTGCTCACCAACTCCCGCTCCAATGTGAGGTGTGTCCTCCTTCATGCCACGTCGGTCACCTCTTTGCTTGGCATTCTCTGCTACGGAGGGGGCCCAGGGCCACCTCCAGTCACTGACTGTATCCTGAGACCTTGCTGTACCCTGGCATCATACAGTATGAATTTTCTTATCACTCTCTGGATCCCCGGGTTTGATTCAAGTCCAAGTCAGTCCAAGCAGAAGCCAAGGAAGGGGTCTAGTGGCCTATTGCTAGGGCCTTCCTGAAGCCCCACTGCGAAGCCGCCTCTGTCTGTACACGCAGCCCAAGAAGGGCACAGACAGCATCAGGAGTGGCATGCAGAGCCCACGGAAGGGCATGCGGCAAGCTCTGCTGCTCTACAGACCTCGGTGGCTCCCACCCATCCAGGGACCAACACAGCCCCAAAGGCCTCCAGACCTGGGTAGACGTACGGGGGCTCAGAGTCCACCCCACTGGAGTGCAACTGACCCACGGCAAAAGGTCAAGTACAGAGGGAGAGCTGCGTGCCCGTGTGAGTGTGTGTGTGTGCACGAGCGCGCGTGGGCGTGCACACACCCAGCCCAGGGATGCAGCGAGCAGAGAATGTGACAAAGAGACGGAGGTGTGCCAGTGACTAAGGCAGAGACAAATGGGGCTCCAGGAGAGAGTGACAGACAGGAAATCCTTTTAAACCAGGACACTTCCCCAAAGGGTGCTGCTGTTATTACTATTAGTTCATATTAAAGGAGCAAGCAGGAGAGGCTGGGAGGATGAGGCCCGCTGCCACGAGCCACCAGGCGTGGCTCTGGGCGCTGCTGGCAGCCATTTTAGACCTTGGCAGCCATCTTACGGCTGGCGGCCCTAGCCAGCATTGCCACAATGCCGCCGCCACCAGCCCCCAACAAGCTCAGCTCAGCTCAGCTCTAGGAGAAAAGGCAGAAACACTGGAAGCCTGGACCTAGGCTCACAGGCAGAGGGGCCAGTTCCTCAGCGAGGGCAGCTGCAGCCAGGGTCCTGCAGACCTGCACTAACCTCAGCACTTATGATCCTTGCCTATGTCATGAAAAGGCAGGCAGGATGAAGCTGCTACCCTGGCTTTGCTGAAAGGCAGCAGACGCCCCGAGTTCCGCGTCGTGAGGCCCAAGGACCTAACAGTTGAGCGAGAATGGACCCCCTGCCCAACAGGGCCAAGGGCATCTCGGAAGTAAGGGATGTTAATACCCTGTCAGCTCAGAACACATCCTGACAGACATGGGACGGAGGTTGGCAGGGAACCACACAGGTCTTGGTGGTCAGGCTCCCAAGCCAGCCAAGGGACATCCTGCCATCCAGAGGCCAGCTTTCCCATGTGGTGGGCTCACTGGGACGCTTTGAGACAAGGTCTGTGCCGGCTTTGGACACCCCTAGGGACGGACCAGCAGCACATCACTGAGTGTCTGGGCACCTTGACCCCTCTTCTGCCTGGGACTCCTGGGGGAGGTTATAGCCCAGGATTCAGACAGAGGAGGAAGGCCCCTTACAACAACCCCTCCCCTGGCCCCGCCTCATAGCTGCTTGGCTTTTATCTGGCAGAATGGGGCTTATCAGAGCCACCAGCTGAACAAACACACAAATCCACGGTTAGTGAGAAAAAATGCTCGGCCTGAACTCTTTATCTCCTGTTCACAGGCCCTGCACACTGCCCACTGCCAAAAGCACGGGAGGGAACCTGCGGCGCAGCGGGGGCAGTCCTCTGCTCCGCAGGTGGAGGGTGGTCTTCCGGACTCCGGCCCTGCCTGTCTGCCTTCCCTCCACCTCCCTTCCTCCCTCCTTGTCCTCGGCCCATCGCCACTCTTCTCCAGGAGCCCCTGCCTGTGGGTAGACACTGAGCTCCTGCCCACACAGAACCCCCCTTAGTGCCTGCCTGCTTTCTCCCTGGGGACAATGGGCCGGCTGGTGGCCTGTGGAACAGCAGAGCGACAGAGATGGCTCAGGCAGGTGCTGGTTCACCTCTCACCCCGTCCTGCCCAGGCTCACTGGACACTGTCACCCTGGTTCCCCGTTTGCTGGTGCCATGGCCCCCTGGGGGCTGCCACGGAAGTGAGGGCTATAGCTCCAGAGCGGGTGTCAGGGCAGTCTGGCCCAGGCTGGGAAAAGAAAAAGCTCTTTCCTGCATACACTTTATAGAGAGTCTGGGGCTCCTACCACTTCCTTCAGAGGAGGAACCAGGGCAAAGCGTTCACTGCCACCTTCCCTGGACCCAAACCAGGACAATGCAATGGTCTTCCGAGTCCTCCTCCAGGATCTAATGTTGACTCCCATTCCACCCTCCGAATGCAAATACCTGAAAATCAAGCCCTACCCATCTTTGATGGATGCCCTGGTGGGGTGGGGAGGAAGGGAGGGAGGAAGGGAGAGAGGGGGGTAGAGAGGGAGAGAGAGAGAGAGAGCATCTCAGAGCTCATTCTCAGTACTGTTGGGTGGCTGTATGTCAGGCCACTCGCTGGTGACATACACAGGCCACTCGCTGGTGGCACACACACAGGCCAGGGCACAGCTCTCATCTTTCTCTGAGGCTGCTCATACGAGGTGCATATATCTTTGGCAGAGGCCACTCCTGCGAGTGGTCCTGGCTACTGGGCAGGGCTTTCTGGAAGGCAGGACTGTGAAGGGGTAGGTGAGGTGACAAATTTGGGTTGACTGGGCGTGGTTCCAAGTGGGTTCACGGAAGGGCCTTGACTGCAAATTCTTACCTGCTTTCTAGTCACTCCTAAGCCGCAGGTCATCCCTGCTGCGACTGCTTATGGACCACAGGTGAAGTGGCCGTCATGGGCCCCTCCTTTCCACAAGTCCCTAGTGTCTCTTGGGAGAGACAAAAAGCTCCCCATAAAGCTGCCCTTCGCACCCCACGTGAGCTCCACGCTCTCAGCCCCTGAGCCTTAACTGTTTTTGGCTTTCTCCCTGAACTCCGTCTCTGAGTTTTACTCCGGTCTGTACTTCCCTGCAGCTCCCTTTCCTCCTGACTTCTGTCTGCTTGCACACATGTGCACGTATGTGTTTGAGAAGACTGCCTCTTAAGCAGAACCCAGCATTGCCCAAAACCCTGATGTATATATGTGTGTGTATATATATATCCCCAACCACAGACAAGGGTGTATTTATGGCTCCTAGCAAGTGAGGGAGGAATTCCTGCTCACTATAGCCAACACTCCATGGCTCCCACGCGAAACGAGCTCATTCTGCAAGGGGGCAGCTGCGTGCGACTCGCTGGCCAGCTGCCTCCATGGACTTCACCCAACATATTCTTCAGGGGCCAGGAGGGGTGCACAGACCAGCCTCAGCGGTACTCCAAGGGCACACCTAGGCATGTGGGTACACTCAGTGAGCACACTCAGCATACCTCAGTCACCACCAGCCCCTTCTTAGCATCAAGAAAACGTAGAATAAGGTGGAGCCTCCAGAGCCGCAGAAAGGAACCCCTCAACTACGCAGACCGTTGGTCCAGAGCAGGCAGGGGTGTGGCTCGGGATCCCATTCCTA